CACCATAAACAAGACATGGATGACAGTTGTTGCATTTCCTCTACCACCACATGCCCTTTTGCATTTATACCCATCTGTTCCCCATTTTCTGCAACAAGTATTCTGATTTCTCTTTGCAAAAACATTGTATTAACATAAGCATAAAGTATATAGCCTTTCCAGGGGTTTCTTTAAACTCAGAACAACACCCTGAAGGCTCAGTGCCTGGTAGTAATTTCTATGACTCATTTCTCTTTATTGCCAAATACCCAGGAGTTGTTATCTATAGCCCTGCGTGGGCCACTTGTATTCTATCTAGATACCAGATGTTTTTCTCTTGTTCTCCTTGGTAGATAGTTTCTTAGATAGGGTTACTATTGCTATGATATTTCACCATGTCTAAAAGCCACTTGAGGAGGAAAGGGTTTATTTGGCCTATAATTCCACATCATAGTCCATTACTGAAGAAGTCATGCCAGGAACTCAAACAGGGCAGGAAGCTAGAGGCAGGAACTGATGCAGAGGCCACAGAGGGGTACTGTTTATTGGCTTGCTCCTCCTGGCTTGCCCATCCTGTTTTCTTATAGAACAGAGAACCTCAGCCTAATGGCTGAGGCCTGCCCACACCCATCACTAATTAAGAAAATACCCTACAAACCTGCTTGTGTCAGGTTGACATAAAACTAGCCAGTACAATTGACCCTTTGTCAACTTGACACACAAACATATCACTGTTAAGCCGAAACTTTTCCCTTCTTGTTCATCCCCATGGTTACACATTAATATCAACATCACAACATGAAACATTTTACTAACTTAAGTCCAATAGTCTCACAAATTCCAATACTTTAAAAAAGTTCAGTCTCCAAAAATTTTGGAGTTTCTCAACTGCAGGCTCCTATAAAATAAAAAAAAAAAATAAGTTAGATAATTTCTTCAAGAACCAGGGCACTGTCAAAAATTGAACAAAACAAAGTCAAACTCCATCTCTGTAAATAACTCAGTGTCCAAGTTCTGAAATCCACTCACAATCTTCTGGGCTTCTCCACAGGGCCTGGGTCACTTCTGCTCTGCTCTCTCCAGCATACATAGCTTGTCTCCTAAGCTTAGGCAGCCTCCGTTCCGTGGCTGTTGTTCTTCTTAGCAGTCATCCCATGGTGCTGGCATATCTAAAATGCTGGGTTCTTTTATTTCGACTGAGCTACACTTTCACAGGTAGCCTCTCCTGGGCTGTCTTCAGGGACTCCAGCCCTACCACATAGAGCCCAAGCCCCAGCTACTTTCCATGACCCCTTCATGCCTTCAACACATACCACCTGGGAGACTCTTCCACTGTTAAGTGCAGCACCAGCATGAGCTAGAACCTTGACTACTCCTGGAACACAGCTTCTGTGTGATGACCGTGAGGGAACACTTTCTAGAGGACTTCACCTTGATGCTGGACTCTTAATCACAGCTGATTCTTCAGTCTCAGCTGACCAACATCCATTGTTCCAGCAAAGCAAAGATTTTACTTTTGTGTTTCTGATTTCTTGTTAATCACAGCCAATTCTTCAGCCCCAGATGACTAGAACCACAGGTTCTTAGTCCAAAATAGCAAACAGCATTAGTAGAGTCTTTAAGGGACTCTCACCAGGCCTTCATCATCAGCATCGCTCTCAACGTTGTCTCCCAAGCACTACAGAACTGAAGTCTCAACACTCAATGACTTTTCTAGCTCAAAGTTCCAAAGTCCTTCCACAATCCTCAAAACAACATGGGCACAACAATAACCCCATTCCTGGTATCTATTTCTATCTTAGTTAGGATTAGTATTGCTGTAATGAAATACCATGACCAAAAGCAACTTGGGGAGGAAAATGGTTTATTTGACTTATTCTTCCACATCACTGTTCATCACTGAAGGAAGTCAGGACAGAAACTCGGGCAGAGCAAGAAGCTGGAGGCAGAAAGTTATGCAGAAAAGAGAAGTGCTGCTTACTGGCTTGCTTCTCTTGACTGGCTTGCCTGTTTTCTTATAGAACCCAGGACCAGTAATTCATGGATAGCCTCACCCACAATGAGCTGGGCCATCTCACATCAGTCACTAATTAAGAATATGTCCTACAGGCTTGCCTACAGCATGATCGTATAGAAGCATCTTCTTAACTGAGACTCCCTCCTCTCAGATGACTCTAACTTGTGTCAAATTAACATAAAACTAGCCGACACAGTAGCTCAGCTTCAGCAAAGCTAGACTGTACCTTGTGAATCTCTGCCTGCACAAAGCATCTAATAAAGGGTGATGATCGGGCCACATGTAGATAGTGAGGATACAGAGTCATTCCTACCTCACCAATAGGGCCTGTCCTGGTTAGATTTTCTTGTTTGTTTGTTTGTTTGGACAGCGTGGCACAAGCCAGGGATATATGGGGAGCGGGAATTTCAATAGAGAAAATGTCACCATCAGATTGTCCCAGAGGCAGGTTATAGGGGCATTTTCTTAATGAATGGTGTAGGAAGGGCCCAGCCTACCGCAAGCATTGCCACCCTTGGGCAAATGGTCTTGGGTTGAATAAGAAAACAGGCTAAGCAAGCCATGAGGAGCAAACTAGTAAGTAGTGTGCCTCTATGGCCTCTCCAGTTCCTGTCTCCAGGTTTCTGTCACAAGTTCCTGCCCTGACTTCCTTTCATGATAGACTACAACTATAAGCTGAAATAAACCTTTACCTCCTCAAGTTGCTTTTGGTCATGGTGGGGTTTTTGTTTTGTTTTGATTTGGTTTGTGTTTTTGTTTTTTTGAGACAGAGTTTCTCTGTGTAGCCCTGCTGTCCTGGAACTCAGAGATCCACCTGAATGCTGGGATTAAAGTCGTGAGTCACCACTACCCAGCTTGGTCATGGTGTTTTATCACGGTAATGGAAAGCATACTAAGAGACTGTCTGCCTGGGCCTTATGTGAAGAGGCTGAACATCGGTTCTGGCCCTCTCTAGAGCTATGACTGGTTCCTACTGGGTCTCTGTGTTCGGCGTGTGACCTGGGAGAAACACTGAAACGCTGGGATGGGAAGCAGGCTTCTCATAAACCACTTCTGTCCCCGCCTATTATCCTTGATGAATGGCACCAGTACTTATTGGGGGCCTTATAGAGATTGGTTCTAGAAATCCTGAACCCTGACTCCCTGAAGCCTGTGTCGTGCATTAATGGGACTGTGGTCTAGCTGAGTGCCTGACTCTTTCTTCCTGGGCCTGAGAAGTGCTCTGTTTTCACTGAGTCACAACTGTGTTGGCTTACAAGTTAAAAATAGACAGACGCTAGGCATCTGGTCAATGAGAAGCCTATGCTGACCTGACTAGTCACTAGAATGCTTGTAAATATTTGGAGTTGTTTATGGCTAGAGCCATTTCCTTTCCACGGCTTCCTTGCCCCATCTAAAGCCATAAGGGAGCCATGGCACTAAATGAGTGAGAGCTAGCATATGTTAGACAGACTCAGAGTGGCATGTTATTGGTTACCACTGAAGTTCAAGATACTTCCTAGGAGCCAGTAGAAGTGGTAAGTCGTTTTCTATAGTGACAATTGTGCTGTCCCAGAATTTACTGGGAAAACCCCAGGTTTGAAAACACATAGAACAGTAAACAAGTCAGTTCTATTTTTTGGCCCTGGGCCTTAGGTTACAGAACATGAGATTTTTCTTTGTAAATAGGAGATTTTTTACCTTACCATGATAATTGTGAAAAGTAAGTGTTCTGTGTAAACTATGGACCAGAACCCTAGGCAGGCTGTCAGTAATGTGGCTGTTACTATCCTTACAGCAGATATTGCACCTTCAGGCAGGATACCTAAAGGGTAGATTAAAGGTTGTGAAAGGCCTTGATGTCCAAATGTGTGGTCATAACTCCCTTCCAGGTACTCACATTCCTTTTCGTTGATCTTCAAACACTACTGTGTCCTTAAATGACATTAACAGCTGCCCAAGTAGGGGACTCTCCAGCTGGAGAAAACTATGACTGAGTTTAAAATAGTACCTTGTTCCTGGGCTGGAAGGAGGGCTATGTAGACTCTTGGGTGGCAGGTCAGGGAGTATTTTCACCCTCGGGTTTAGCAGAACACAGGGCAGAAGAAGCTCAACCACTGACAATGGAGGAGCCACTTTATTTACTAGGCAGGCCAGGCTGTCCCTGTCAGAAGCCCTAGGGTATGTATCCCCTGTCACTTGCCCCCTCAACCCCAACATTGCCTGGCCAGAACTTTCTAACTGTTCTTTAGAAAGGAATAAGAAAAAAATGGCCCTGAACAGAGCTAGCTCGTCAGGGTTTAGGGATGTCAGAATTTGAAATAAGCAGGTCTGACCTCTGTGGGAAGTGGTAAGAGAGCCACTGGAAACTTTTCTGAGAATGAAATATGAGGCTGTTCTGTCCCAAGAGACAGGATGGGCAGCTCAGAAAGAACAGCTGTGCTCTTAAGTTGACCTTGCTTCTTGTTAAGTCTGTGTTTTGGTTAGGATTTCTATTACTGTGATAAAGACTTTATCTTAAAATTCTTTAGTCACACTCCATCATTGAGGGAAGCCATGAAAGAGTGCTGCTGACTGACTTGTTCCTCATGACTTGCTCAGCCTACTTTTTTACACCATCCAGGACCACCTACCCAGTGGTGGGACCAACCACAATAGGCTGGGCTTTTCCACATCAATCACTAAATAAGGAAATGCCTCAGAAACTTGTCCATGAGTCATTCATAAAAGGTATTTTCTCACTTGTGGTTCCTTCTTCAATAACTGTAGCTGGGTCAAGTTGACAAACAAAACTAAACAAAATTCAGTTTGTGTTAAGTTGACAAAAACAACCAAAAGAACAGTCTAGAAGGCATGTCATGGTGTCAGAATGTAAGTTATGTCAGAAGCAAACCTGAGCATACCTGCCAACAAGATTCACACAAAAAGGTCAATCCATCTCTTCAAGGAAAGATACCTGATGGGTCTTTGTGCCCAGAGTGGAAATCCTCTACACTCTTTAAACTGTGGCCTCTTCCCTGCACAGGTGCCACCATGGAGTCTGACCACTGCTGACTGGAAGCCGCACAGCACTGAAGTGAAAGCCTGTTGTGGACCTACACATCCAAGAAAAGGAGACACCATGGCTTCTAGCAGCACTGAGACCCAGCTGCAGAGGATCATCCGTGATCTACAAGGTCTGGTTGAGTGGCTGGTGAACTGGGCTTGGTTTTAAGGAATGTGGGTTGTAGGGAGACACTCTAGCCCCGCCCAATAGTCCTGGTACAGGTACCAGGTGGACCCGGGACTCGCCCATAAGGGCGTGGTGAAGGAAAGCCAGGGTGACGTAAGGGAGCTTCTTAAGAGGCTGCACGTGGGGACCCTGGCCTTTTTGTTCTGGCCGCGCTTGCTGGGTTCTATAACCTAGCTCTGGCCTGTGTCTTGCCTTGGTGTCATCTGGAATAAAGAGACTTTAATCCTACAGTGGGTCTGTGCCCTGGGTGTTGATAGTCAGAATTCAGCCCTTTCTTCTTTGTTTATATCCTATTGAAATATTTGGTTCTCAGATATCTATCCTCTGTGCAGCTGGGAGGGCTTACCTCACACTCCTGTCAGAGCAACACAGCTAGTTTGTGAATAAAACCAAATAGCACTAAAAGTATAGGGATTAGTTTCAGTTCTGAGTGCTTTAAACTGCCTAGTTGCCTTTGGAATCACCCCACCCCTTGTTGGGCTTTGGTGAGCTTGACTTTTAGGGAAAGGAAAATTCTCATCTCTTCAAGCAGGATGACAGGTGAGGTACTTGGAGGTTTCATGTTGCATCTACCCACACCAGCCCCAGCCACTGGTGGCCATTGTTCCATGCATTTTATTACCAGGCCTACTACCTCTGGGCTTCCTCAGGGAGCCACTTGGGTTTGTAGCCCTTCTCCACTGGAGAAAGGCAAGAGAGGGCAAGCAGATAAAACTGCAGCTAGACCTTGATGGAATAACAGCATTTCTGTGAATTGCAGAGACCCAAGTTTACCCTATTAGATGACTTCCCAAGGACCAGACATTAGTAGGTCTCTCATCCCCAACTCTGCCAGGTTTGATGTTTGTAAGCCTCTGGAGCTCCAACACGTTTGCCATAGAGCTGTGCCTGCAGAAGTCACAGTGACACTTCCCTGACCACCTAGAAGTCCAGGTTCCTAGACAAACAAAGGTCTTATAGTAAAGGCTATTAGTCTGGGATATCCTCAATGAAGTACACAGTCTGCATCTGCAATCCAAAGCCAGCAAGGTCCAGCCTATTTTCTCAGATTTGCTTTGTGTAGTGCTTTGGGGCCTCTCATAGCTGATGCATGTTGAGTGTTCCAGATTTTTGATTTTGTTTGATTTTATAATATTTTGTAATATTTTTTGATACTTTGGAATTTTGGAACACTTTGCTGATTGAACATTCATGATTTAAAGTTCTGATAAATGAAATGCACCAAAATCCAAAACTTTTTGAGTCATATTTTGTATGGTGTTTCATGTACATACGAAAGACACTGCTGTGTGTACATGTTACTAATAACCTGTGAAATCATCTTGTTTGGTTCTGTGGAGTAGGTGCCATTGCTGCTACCATTTTGCAGTGAAGGAAATAGGCACAGTGGAGAATCTGACTTTCTTAGTATCATAGAACCAGTATGGAACAAAGCTTGGGGTTATACACTTTCAGCTAAAATGTTTAGTGTTTTTGTTTTGTTTTGTTTATACAGACATTCAGAGAAAATAAATGACAGTTGGGGCAAATCTGTGTTGGCCATTGGCTTTAGAAGTTTCACCACAAAATAGTCTTTTCTGCGTCACAGTGGCTAGTTTTCAAAAAAAGCCTTATGAATCTATATTAGCTTCACAGAAATCTCACAGTAGTCTTGAAACCTACATCCTGTCATCAAACCCAACCTATAAGCAAGGGGAGCAAACTGCACACTGGAGAGGTGAAGGGACCAATGTCTGCTTAGAGCTCTGCTGTTTGCCATCAGGATCTTAAAAGAGTCTCTGGCCCCTGTAACCTTTATCTGTAAAATGGGGGTAATAATAAAAGATTTCCTGGATTCCATGTTGTATTTAATGTTTTTCATCTTTTCTCAGTGCTGAAATTAGAATGTGTATTATATATTGAAATAAGGCAGACACTCTATTCATGAAAAATACATATAAAGGTCTGACTCCTCTTAGGCACCCAATTAACAGACACAGATATTGTTATCATTATTACTGTTTCTTGTACTTGCTGATGCTCTGAAACCTGTATTTAACCTGTGCTGATAGGGGTGTAGTAAATGCTATAATTTGTGCTAGAAGCTTGGCTTTTGCTGTTGAAGAGAAATGGGACATGTTTAGAGTCTAGTGACAGGTGATTAGGTTATGACCACCCTGAAAAGAACTCAATGCTGTTTCACAGAGTACTCTTTTATATATGGTCTAATTCCTGTGGGGGCAAGTTATGAAAGAGAACTTCACACTATTAAATGCTAAAGGCCACCATTTGGGGTCTTCAAAATTGATGCCTTGTTTTTAGGTGTGTTTCTTGTTTAATGAATCATTGCAGAGAAAGTTTTGCCTTATTTTTAACACATCTAACATGAATCCCAATTCCAGGGCTGCTGAAATGCTAAATAAATATTTTTACTTTGTGATTACCCAGAATCGGGTGTTTTGTTATCACAAAACAGATTATCCTGGTCATTTCCTTGCCCCTTACTGTCCCAAGTCTGTTTTGTGATACTGCAGTTGGTTAATCTGCATAGCAACCATTTGTTGGCTGGCTGTGTACACACAGGACTAGCTTGGTGGTGGATACACAGGGATGAATTTTAAGAAGTGTGCCCAGTCAGCAAGCTGTTGCAGTGTCTGTGGGCTCGTAGTGCATTTATGACTCTATTATCTGAAGTTATATCACCTGAATATTTACAAGTCCTGTGTGTTTCCAAGGTGACCATCACTGACCACTTATCTTTGTACTTCCAGGTGTTATTTCTGCTTTCTCAGACTTACTTTTCAGCACATCTCAGACGTATGCTAATGTTAAGATGTAAGTAGACAAATATGTCTCTCTGGTCACATGTTCCTGTTTGTTGTCTTAAAGATGCAGTGACAGAGCTAAGCAGTGAATTTAAGGAAGGTGGAGAACCGATCACAGATGACAGCACCAACTTGCACAAGTTTTCTTATAAACTTGAGTATCTTCTGCAAGTAAGTGGCATTTGTCATGTGTTGGTTTTGTCACAGTTGCCTCTTGTTCCCTATAGGAGTGACTCTTTGTTTTTAAAAGAATTTTTAAAAATATTTATTTATTTATTTATTTATTTATTGTGTATATACAGTATTCTGCCTGCATGTATCCCTGCATGCCAGAAGAGGGCACCTGATCATTACGGATGGTGTGGCCCACCATGTGGTTGCTGGGAATTGAACTGAGGACCTCTGGAAGAGCAGTCAGTGCTCTTAACCTCTGAGCCATCTCTCCAGCCCCTATTTGAGTGACTCTTACCAGTTTCCAGGATGTGGTTCAGAAAGCACAATGGAGCAATTAAGCCCTTGTGGTGAGACTGAGAGTCAGAGCAGTCCCAAGAGCTCAGTCCTCCCTAGTGAGTTCTGGGAACCAAGAACATTTCTCTAAGATTTAAGCCATCTTAACTGTAGGGTAGGGTAGTTATTTACACCCTTTGAGAACTTGTTGAACCCTGTAGTGTCTCACCTTTACAGACACAATATATCTACATAGCCAGTAATAGAGGCGGCTTCCAAGAGTTCAGACTCTGGAAGATCATCCAAGGCCCATTTCAGAACCTTGCTCCTTAAGCACGGTTACTGTAGAGCTGGCTATTTCTGAATCAGGGTTAATCAAGCAAACATTCTTTTAACATTTTCATGGTGTAACTTTAGTGTCTGCTTAACTTGACCCAGACAGCTCTGCTGATTGGGAAGTACATACTTTTGAAATAGACAGGAAAGAAATGGACCAGTAGTCATTTTACCACAGTTGTATGAGGCATCACTGTTTGTTCTGGGTTTTGTTTTGTGTTGCCTAGATTTCATAGGAGTGTATGTTAATCTTGCTCCACAACCAAGGAGAAATTTTATAAATGGTATAGAAAGATACCTACCAAACTTTACAGTATCACATCCTACCAAAGAACATAGGTGAGAGAGCTGCTAGAAATAAAGATAGGCATGGAAGGACTCACCTTATGTCTCCAACTGGTTCTTTGATACCAGGATGATTTGCTTTGTTTTGTTTTTGTTTTTGTTTTGTTTTTTTGTTGTTGTTTGTTTGTTTTTTTGTTTTTTTAACCTTTTCCAGTTCAGCCCATTTTGGTTTTGAATTTGAAAGTACTCAACACTGACATTAATTTGACTTTTTTCATGTATTTTAAGATAGTATTGACTCCTGAGAGTTTCGAAATGGATAAATGTCATTGCCTCAGTTCCCTAAGTTACAGCGTTTTCTTATCATATTGGAGGTTTTTCACCAAACTATGATAGTAACCCTTAAAATAAATCTTTCTTTTTTTCCTTTAATTATTATTCTTTTCTCCTTCTTGCTTTCCTTTCTCCCTTCTTTCCTACCTTCCTTCCTTTCTATTAATAAGTCAAACTAGCTTGCTATACTGGAACTACAACTCAGGCTTTGTATATGCTAGGCAAATATCAAGAGATAAATCTTTTGGGATAACTATTCCTAAATCTTACCAGTTATATGACCTTGAGCTGGTATTTACTAGCCTCAATTATCACATCTAAAGTTTGTAAACTAACATATTCTGATTTGCTAATAAATTAAACTAAGACCATCAAGAGGCCTCCCTCAGTGCCTGTCCCCAGGAAGTTAGTAATTTTATTATGTTAATGGAACATGAACAGCAGTGGATTCAGACCTCCTCTCTGTTCCTTTCTTTGCCCAGTTTGATCAGAAGGAGAAGACTAGCCTCCTGGGTAGCAAGAAGGACTACTGGGATTACTTCTGTGCCTGCCTAGCCAAGGTGAAGGGAGCAAATGATGGGATCCGATTTGTCAGGTCCATCTCTGAGGTAAGTGAAGCCATGAAGGGAAGGGCCATCTGTCTTCCACTGGCCTGCCTAAAGCTTCTTTGTGGACACCTCTTCTACAAATAATTAGATATAGCATGAAGTCTATGGGTGACCAAGAAGCCAAGAAATCCAGTCTTGGCATACTGGGCTCCTGTTATATGATTCAAGCTCATGGGAACTACCTGAGTTTAGACTAAGCAGAAATGGGCCAGGTCCTAAATGTTACTTCCCAACTGGGCTATCGACATTATAAAGTCTCTGTTCATCCACCCTTTGGAATTGTGAAACATTGCTTCCCTTTTTTAAAAAAAAATCATTTTCTTTAGAGTTGCTAAGTCAGGGGCTTACTTGACAGTTCTTTAGGTAAAGGCATTGGCTACCAAGCCTGATGACCAAAGTTTCATTCCTAGAACTCACATGGTTGAAAGAGAGAACAGACTCCTGCAAGTTGATCTCCCTACATATGCTATGACACATACATGGCCTGGCAAGTCTGGCCTGGCGCGAGCATGCACATGAGCACACATGTGCATGCTCGCGCGCATGCATACACACACACACGCACACACACACACACACACACACACACACACACACACTAAATAAATAAATAAATAAATAAATAAATAAATGTAAACCAGAAAGATTTTTAGAGTTGCTAGGCTACTTTTCCAGCAGTTTGCTCAAGAAACTTAGATTTGAAGTGAGGAGAGTAAGGTAGACTCTCAAGCATATTTCTTACCATGCCCAGCTGCTAAGTAATGTCCTACATCCAGCTGGGCCCTTGAGGAAGGGCTGAATGCTCTGGTTTTGTCTTACTAGAAACTTAAGAAACACAAATATGCCACACCACACTACATACCCTTCTTCCTTTGTGGGTCCTAATCTGCAATCCTGTCTTGAGACTTTTGTGGCAGCTCCTTTATCATTTATCTTGGCTGCTTTACACCAGAAGCTGGAAGGCCCTGTGTTGATGCCCATATCAGAGTCTGCTCAGCACACCATATTGTGAGTGCCTAAACCTCAGATGATTTCCTTCATGCCTCTCATTCCCCATCCCCATCCCCATCCCCAGCGACTCTCATCAGCCCAGTCAACCCAGAAGTGAAGCACACATACAGGGAGAGCAAGTGAGCCCAAAATTTGGAGAAAGGTTAGGAAAGTTTGTGCGTTTTGTCTTGTTAGCATCTCTGCCAAGTGTGTGATCGCTTTAAAATCGGCACCCAGGCTCTTTGGCTGGCCTCAAAGGCCACGGTGTTAGAAGGCTGGGTGTTTTAGCAATAGCACTCACAGGAATACCAGCAAGGGCCATGGTTTCCTTCTTATAGATGGAAACAGCATAAGCACACTGACATCCAAGGCTCAGTGACTTCTACCAGCTGCCCCCTCTGACTCTGGGCAAGTGAGGGAGGATGGCAGTTCTATAGTGTTTGTCCTGCATGTATCTTTAATGTCAGTGTGGTGTGGGTTGGTCTTGGGAGGCTGGTGAGAAGCTCAAGTTGACGATGTAGAGCCGTGTGTAATGTATCAGGAATCTGGAAAGGTTCCCACTTCTCCCATTCCTCACCCATTGCATCAGCACTGAAGTCTTCAGTCATATGACTCTGGACAAGTGAAGTCTAACAGTAAGTTAGTCTTCATTCCTAGGGTCATGAAGTGTTTTCTAAAACAGTCTACTTTTTAGCTCTTTTTCTCCTCTCTTCATAATGCATTCAGACCTTTTGAGGCCATGCAGATAGACTTTAAAGAAGTTAAGGAAGCTGTGTGCTGACTTCTGACTTGCTCATGCAGGTTGATTTCCCATGGGGCCCAGTTGTTTAACTATGGTTGAAAACTCTGTTCTTTGTCTTGAAATGTCACTAGGTAGGAAAATTGCTGGATATTAACTTTCCCCATTACTTGGTGCTCTTTGGATCTTCAAGTGTAACTAGAATTTAATGGGTCAGAAGTATTTATAGGACTCCTTGGGGCCTTTGGGGCAGGAGATAGCCATTTGTGCTAACATGTGAACATTCTAGTGAGCCACTTGCAGAGACTCAAAATGAGTTCTTCTGGAATGGGTTTCCCTGAAGTATGTGGAGGCCAGCTCTGCTCCAGGCACATGGCACAGAGGTCTGGTTTAAAGCAGAGACACCCCATGTTCCTTGCAGGTCTCCCGTCCCATGCTACTATTGTGTGCCTTTTCAGCATGGTGTATATGGGATGCTAAGAAAACCGGGAATTGAGTGATGAAAGCTGACCTATGATCTAAAACATTTTTTAAAAAGGCAGTATGTAGTTACTTTCATTTGCAGTACAAAAGAAATATTCTTTTTCCTGAGGGACATTTTTTAAAGTAAGTAGCTAGCTCCTTATATAATCATCTGTTCAGCTAATGAGCTCAAATGTTATCATTTAAGAAATTTTACTGTCATGTAGGAGGAATAAGGACTCACTCCTGCTCTGAGAGTTTGCAGACAAGAGTGGTTTTGTGGGCAGAGAGATCTGATTAAATTCTACCATTATTCCAGTTTTGAGGTATGTAGGTGGGCACCTTGCCTAGCTGTTCTGGGCTACCCAGATGTCCCCATTGTCCCCATTGAGCACTTTGTTCTCACCTCACTCATCAGAGAAGAAAGTGTTTGTACATGGATGTTGGCATGGAGGTTGTCTTCTAAGCATCTGTTGAGATAACTATTTGGAAGCATGCCTTAGTGCTTTGTATCAAGTCAGTCTTCTGCCCACCTCCATTTCAGCTGTCGTGACTATGGTTGGGAAATGTCTTATGGCTTCCGTAGTTCATGAGGTTTCATGTCTTTTAAAATCACCTTATGTTATATTACTTCTTTGAGTCATCAGTAAGAATGACTCAAAGTAATAAATACCTCTGAGTTAAAGGTGTTAACTGCTCCTGGGATGTTTACAGCATTATTGGTGCCTTGGTGGCATGCCACATACTTCCTGTCTCAATCTAGGACATCTTAATGTGGTAGAAAATAATAAGACCCTCTTTTGACCAAACTACTGTCATCCCTCTCTAAACATTCTGATCTTTAAGAGAGTGAGAGAGTGCTGGCTCTGCTTTCTCTACCCAGATTCAGAGCTTGTGCCAATAGATACCTAAGGTAGACTCAATGTGTTTTGAATGCCTGGCTACTTCTGGGACTGATATATTGAGGTTATGAATCTTAATTTTCAAACCTCTCAAATGTTCTCTATGGCAGTTCACTTTAATCCACTTGTCTTGGCTGCCATTTGCCCACAGCTTGTAGGGCCCTGCATTGCAGCCTCATTGCAGAGTCTGCACAGCATACCATGTTGTAAGTGATTAAACCTCAGATGAATTCCTTTATGCTTTTACATGAATTTGTCATCAAAGTCATTGTAGAGTTGTGGACACTTGGGCTTTTCTATGACATTACTCCCAGGTGACAAGACTCCTTGGAAAGCCCTATTCTCATCCATAGCACATTGACTAAATGCAATGAGTTGCCTTCTCTGAAAAGAAACCAGTCCAATTAGGAAAGCATGAACAGATACATGAGGGTTTGATGGAGACAAAGGAGACTGTTAAACATCCTTCTGTGTGTATGTTTCTCTCATTGGTTAATAAATAAAACACTGGTTGACTGATTGGCCAGATAGGAAGTGACATAGGTGGGCAGAAACTTGCTATTAGCTAACCATAGAGGTCTGGAGGTACAGATAGACAGGAAGTGACATAGATGGGCAGAATGAGGATATAAGCAGGGACAAACAGGAAATCGTTCTCTGTGGAGATGCTGAGCAGTCATCATGTAGCCCGCAAAGGAGTTGCAGGTCCAGCATTCTCCGGTAAGCCAAGGCTATGTGGAAATACATGGATTAATAGAAATGGGTTAATAATTAAGACAGAGCTAGCCACCGGGCGGTGGTGGCACATGCCTTTAATCCCAGCACTCGGGAGGCAGAGGCAGGTGGATCTCTGTGAGTTCGAGACCAACCTGGTCTACAAGAGCTAGTTCCAGGACAGCCTCCAAAGCCACAGAGAAACCCTGTCTAGAAAAACCAAAAAAAAAGAGAAAAAGACAGAGCTAGCCAATAAGAAACCCTAGTCACCAGCCTACAGATTTATAACTAATATAGTGTCTATGTGTTCATTTCGGGCAGGGGCCTCAGGACCAGACAGGCCAGAAAACTCATGCTTACAGAGCTCCTCTTACACAACTCCACTCTTTTTATTCTTCCCCTTTTCTACACATGTTCCAACCAAGCCACTGAGGCCTCTCTCCCTGAGCCTGACCCCCTTGTACCTTAAGCCCAGCACCAACCAAGTTTACCATCCCTTCCTCCTATAGTTTCCATGTGAGAAGCCATTCAGTTACCTCCAGGTTTCACACCTTATTCCAGATGAAATCAAGGAGTTTCCTGTCAGACTCAGAGATTCTGATAGGAAGAAGAGCAAGAGTGACTGCATTCGAGGTACAGGTTTTGATTCCCATCCACATATCTTTCTTCACATGTTTGCTGCAGAGTATTCTCAGATAGAGGCCTGCGATAAGCCCACCCACGTCAGGCTTCTTTCTAGAGTGACGGTGCCAGATGTTTCCCATCCTTTGATGGGTATGAGGGCTGCCAGTGTCAGAGCAGGGTTGGATGGCATGTTCTGTCCTATTTTGTGGCCTTTGCTAATTCTCCATGAGGAGGTGTTCATCTCAATGTAATCTGTGTTTTCAGCTCCGAACATCTCTGGGAAAAGGAAGAGCTTTCATTCGCTACTCTTTGGTGCACCAGAGGTTGGCAGACACTTTGCAGCAGTGCTTCATGAACACTAAAGTAACCAGGTAACTGCAAGACTGTGCTGGGCTTAACCCATGAACAGAAATTATGTCAGAATGACAGTGGTAGGTGCCTCCAGTTTCTTCTACAGCCATTATTCTTGGTCCTTCCTACCAGTCTTTGAGCATGTAGTATAAAAGTGGTAAAGAGGTAAATACTACCTTTTTCTAGTGCTCTCATGTGCTCAACTGTGGTACTAGAGCTTAGAGCCAGAGCTCTTAACTCCTGGTGGCCACATGTCTTTTCCTGATGGGTGGTGGCTCATTGGAGCCAGTGTTCCTTTGCTTCCCACAAGAGTTGCCTGTGTGGTTCTCCTTTACTCAGCCTGGACCCCACCTACCACAGAGCCAGTTCCCATCAACATATCATGGCTCCTGGGAGACCTTAGGGCAATTGCTGTGAGTACTGTGTACCTCGTATGTGCTGTAGCCTCACAAGGAAACAGTAAGAGAAGGAGAAAGGTGGGTCTGAGTGAGTGAGAGTAAGGGAGCATCAGATTAGCAGCTGCCCAGCATTCTTTTTCTGTTTCTCCTATGCCTCTCCCTAGATATTTGAGTTAATGAAAGAAAGGACTTTTGAATTTAAAAATAACAAGCAAATGTTTAGCTTTATTCTGTTGCCTTTAAGACTGATTACATTCTTATACATGTGACAGGCTTGTGAGTTAAAAACATTTGCACATTTGATTTGAAGAGTATATTGTTGTAGGTATTTGGTAAAGACTACCATAAACAGTTCAGCATCACAGACCACAAATATGAGCCAAGTAATTCTTTAGACTTATAAGTACTATCTTTTTAAACTTCTTACTGCTTCGAATGAAATGGATAAATCACAATAACAATGTCTCGTGAAATGGATAAATCACAATAACAATGTGCATAAAACATTTCTGGATAGACATTTGTTCCTTGGCTTTTAATGTCTGAACAGAAGTTAGAAGTGAGCCCAGTGTGTCTTGTTGGATTCTATGAAAGGAATAAAAGCTGAGGTTATCTTCCCCAAAGGAATTGTCCTGTCTCCTACAGTTACCCTTTCTTGGCAAGTCACTAAGATTTAAGTATCTCAAATTTGTTGGAGGAAAGAAAGGTATTATATAAATAATAAACATCCAGATAATTGCAAGTTTCTTTGAAGCAAAGAAAGCTTATTTGAGAACCTGTGGTTCAGCAGTGAAAGATAAAATGGCTTGCTTATTTTTTTTTATTTAGTAACATAGGTTACTGGATTTGATGAGGTAGAACCACACAGGATGGTCTTGAGTACATTCATTCTTCGCTTATCCTTGTTTCTCCTCAATTCACACAGTGTATGTTTTCTGCAGTGACTGGTATTATGCAAGAAGCCCCTTTCTGAAGCCAAAGCTGAGCTCTGACATTGTGGGCCAACTGTATGAGCTGACTGAGGTGCAGTTTGATCTAGCATCAAGGGGCTACGACCTGGATGCCGCCTGGCCAACATTTGCCAGGTACTTTGGGGAACTGCTTTCTTTAAAATGTTAAGGAAAGAGATGTCCAGTGTTTTGAAAACAGCCACCCATCTGCCCAGCCATTTTGCTTGCTCAGTAAATTGCATATAGCTTCACAACTATTTTTGTCTGCCTTCCCCATTTATTTATTAAGTTATCTCAGTATTGACTTGTGGGGTTTTTTGGTTGTGGTGGGTTTTTGTTTGTGTGGAGGGAGTTGTTTTGTTCTGTTGTTGTCCGGTGGATTATATTCTGTCATTATTTTTGAGCTTAACTTAGCCATATTCGTCCACTGGGAGACCTTTCAGGTTGATATTTTAGGGTTTCTTTCTTCTATATAATACATTCTTTTTTTTCTTTTGTAGAAATAAAATACTGTAGATCTAACTAAGGTGCCACCTTCCTGCTGTCTGTTCCCTTCTTCCTTCCTAGAAGTAAACACAGCACTATGGTTGAGGCATGTCAATAGCAAGGCTTTGTTTTCACTATATGTATTTTTTATGTATCCACAAATATTTAATGATAATATGTATGCTATATATAATTTCAAAATGTTATGCACAGAGAATCATGAGAAAGCTATTATTTCATACTTGCCTTTTTAATTTCACATTGTTTAGTTTTACTTGTGTTTACTCTTGTGGTTCTGTGGCTATAGGGTAGAAGCAACTATGTGAAGCAACTTGGCCCATCTCTTTACATATTCTATGACAGATTTCATGCAGGAGTAGTTGTGATATAGACTGTTTATTTCACAAGCTCAAAATATTTACAGCCTAGCAGACCCATGGTGTAGAATATTCTACTGCATAAGTAACCATAACCAGTGTGACATCCTGGTGGAGTTAGGCTTGTTCCACCTTTCCACAGTGATAATGCACCAAGGGTTTCCTTCCTCACACCTCCCTCCTCATACCTCACACATGTGTGAGGTTGTGTGGCACTCTTGACTAAGGTCCTTGCTAGGTTGAGGGGACTAATAGATTTGACAGTTCGATAACTATAGGTTGTTTCTTGTAGGGTTGCTGTGAATTGAGAGTTATCACATAAGCCTCTATGCTTCATCCAGTAGAACTTTCTTCAGTGAAGGAGATTTTGGATAGTTGCCCTGTCCAATATGTCCACATGAAGTACAATCAGGTCTTTGGCCACACTGTAGATGAGCCTCTCAGCACAGTAGAACTTAAAAACAAACCAACAAGGGCTGGAGAGATGGCTCAGAGGTTAAGAGCACTGACTGCTCTTCTAGAGGCCCTCAGTTCAATTCCCAGCAGCCACATCATGGCTCACAACCATCTATAATGAGATCTGGTGCCCGCTTCTGACCTGCAGGCAGAACACTGCATACATAATAAATTAAATCTTTAAAAAAAAAAAAAGAACCTAGGTTGAATGCTGTTTTTTCCTCATTGGAAAATAGACTGTGGCAGGCACCTAAAATTCAAAGAAATGTATTTCCTGGGGATTTGGGGGGGCAGTAAAGGAAGCTATAGTATTTAGATTCGTTTGTTTGTGTGTGTACATGTGAGTGCATGTGTGTGTGTGTGCGTGCATAGATATCAGATTAGATTCATTTGTGTGTGTACATGTGAGTGCATGCGTGTGTGTGTATGTGTGAGTGCATGCATGTGCATGTGCATAGATATCAGATGAGATTCATTTGTTTGTGTGTGTGCATGCGTGTGTGTGTGTGTGAGTGTGTGTGTGTGTGTGTGTGTGTGTGTATACATATCAGAGGAGGGCAGCAGTTATCCTCTACTATTCTACAACTAGTTTTTTAAGGCAAGATGTCTTCCTGAAGCTGAGACTCAAGTTTTCTCTTCTAAGCTAGAACCCAGAAAGCCCACATGACCTCCCTGTCTTCACCTCTCTTGGAGATGGGATTTCAAGGGTGTCTGGGATACCTGGTTTGTTACATAGGTGCTGGGATCCAAACTCCAGTCTCCATGATTGCATAACAAGCATTCTTAACTGCTAGGCTATCTCGAACCCCCATGCTGTGATGTTTAAACTGCAGCAGTGTAGTACCCACCTCAGGCCCATGGAAGATCTGCTCTTTGGAGAGAAGTGTGTTTTCCTCTTTGTGCATCATCTAAGAAAGAATGCTCCTGCATTCATCCATCTGTTATTGTAATGAAAAACCTGAGGCAGACTATAAAGAAAATACATTTCTAGTCTGGGGATGTGGCTCGGCTCTTAAGAATGTTTCCTGCTTTTCCAGTGGACCCACTTTCAAACCCCAGAACCTATGTCAGGCAGCTCACAACCATTGCAGCTTCAGAGAATCCTCTTCTGGCCTCCCCCTCACACATGCACCACACATAAAAATAAATCTTTAAATTAAAAAAAAAAGTCTGAAAGTCTTCCTTTTAGGAGGGAAATAGAGTGTGGCTTGTTTAGTTCACAGTTTTAGAGGCTGAAGGCCTGAGCAACATGGCCCAGGCTCTGGCAAGGCAATCCCTTGACTATCATTTCAGAGTAGGTGATGGGGGTATATTTTATGCAGAAGTAAGAGATCACATGTCCCAAATAGTAAGACAGAGGTTAGAGTCCCAGAGTGCCTTCAAACGGGTTGATGTAAGGGCTTATATCAGCCACATTGTTTAAAGGCTCCATCATCTCTCAGTGTCACCATTCTAAGGACCTACATATGGAGGCTTTAGCAGACATAATCAAATGATATCCAGGCCATATCCTACCACCACCTGCTTGCCTAGTAACTGTTAGCACCAGTGTGTGTGTGTGTGTGTGTGTGTGTGTGTGTGTGTGAGAGAGAGAGAGAGAGAGAGGCAGAGAGAGAGAGGCAGAGAGACAGAGAGAAAGAGACAGAGAGAGAGAGACAGACAGAGACAGACAGACAGACAGAGACAGAGAGAGACAGACAGACAGAGAGAGAGGGAGGGAGTTTGCTCTCTTATCTGAACACACTGTGTCTGTCTTATGGCCCCACAGGAGGACGCTGGGCACACCCTCTTCTCACATGTGGAAACCCCCCAGCAGAAGCTCCAGCATGAGCAGTCTAGTGAGCAATTACTTGCAGGTAACGTCGGGAAGGCTGGGGTTAGCACCTTGTTAGGGTGACCAGGATATGTCTTTTTCCCTAGCAACTCATGGGTAATCTTTCTAAGTACTTGTTCTAAGCAAAGTGATATAACCCCTTAAACTATATCCTCTAATTTAACTAAATCCTGAAATTTAGATTTTTTTATAGCCAGATAAAATTTAGATCCTTTTAAAACTGAACTCTTAAAATATTTTTAAAGTGTCTTATAAGATATAGGTTAGCACTGAAGTTAGAATTGACTCTGCTACCTACCAACATCCAACTAAGGGGAAATTACTTAACTTAGAAGCTTCAACTCTTTCTTCTGTAAGAGGGGTAATAAAATCACCCTGGTCCTAAGTGGAGAAGCAAGTAAAAGGGTACTTAAGAAGTACTGAAAATGTAAATCTATTGTAACTATATAATAGAAATTTATTTGCAGTACAAAAATGCTCATAATATATAGAGAATTCAAAATAGAAAAGATGAGCTAGGCACGGTGACGCACACCTTTAATCACAGTACTCAAGAGGCAGAGGCAGGCAGATCTCTGGGCAGGCAGCCAGGTCTACAGATCGAGCCAGGGCAACCAGGGCTACATAGAGAAACCATGTCTCGAAAAACTGATTAGATATATTTTGTGATTTTTGTCATGCCATGGACTGCTATGGGTATAATACACTGTGTTAACCGTAATTTCAGTGTAACTGAGTTCAGATTTTCTAAGAACCAATGTCCTTTAAATTCATAAAGCTGATGGAGGCTGGATGGAGATGTGAGTCTGTCTACCAGAGGGTTTGTGGGGCCCTGAATGTGCTCAGACCTTGTGGCAGGTTCTAGCTTTTAGAATAACTCTAAAAGCTTACCCCAGGTTAAGTAATCCCTTTGTTTTTACTTCTACTTTCATTGAATACAAAAACTTATTCAAATCACTGGACAACTTCATTCTAAAACCTCCTGTCTTTAACTTTCTCTTAGACTCAGGAGATGGCCTCCGGTTTTGACCTAAACAGTTCTCTAAACAATGAAGCACTAGAAGGTTTTGATGAGATGCGGCTGGAGCTGGACCAGTTGGAGGTTCGGGAGAAACAGCTGCAAGAGCATGTACAGCAGCTAGACAGGGAGAAGCAAGCACTCCAAGTGATGATCAGCAGGCAAGGGGAGCAGCTTGAGGTCGAGAAGGAGAGGGGGTACCCTTCAGTGGAGGGTAACATTGGCCTCGTGGGCCTGGTGGCAGAGCTTCAGAAGCAGGGGGAGGCCACCAAGACCACAGTGAAGAAACTACAGACCTATCTGCAGGCCTTGGAGCTGAATGTAGACAAGAAAGAGAACAGTCACTCAGCCCTGCAGCTTGAGACCATGGCACAGGAGCTTGAGGTTGTAAGCAACTCCCTGGGTAGGAAGAACCAGCTTCTAGCCAGGCTTTCAGACTGCCTGGCCAGGGCTGAGAAGGACACACAGTTTCATCAAGAGCCAGGAGCCGACGTGGCCCTGAAGTTCCAGGAATTAAAGGGAAAACTTGAAGCTCTAGAAGGAGAAAACACCAAGATCCAGGAACTAAACAGGCAGCAGAGTATCCAGCTAGAGCAGCTGGCTAAGGAACTACAGCAGAAGGAGGAGGCCCGGGCTGACCTAGAGCACTTAGTGAAGGATGTGTCCCTACTTGAGGAAGAGCTATCTGGGAAGAAGCAAGAGTCAGCTCAGCTCCGGCGACAGCTACAGGAATCTCTGGCCCACTTGAGCTCTGTGGAGGAGGAGCTGGCAGAAGCCAGGCAGCAGGAAAAGCAGCATCGAGAAGAAAAGCAGCTACTGGAACAGGAAGCCAAGTCTCTGACATGGCAGCTGCAGCTCCTAGAGACCCAATTAGCACAGGTGAGTCAGCTTGTGAGTGACCTGGAGGAGCAGAAGAAGCAGCTTATGCAGGACAGAGACCATCTCAGCCAGAAAGTGGGCGCACTGGAACAGCTAGCTGAGGTGCGTGGGGCCAGCAAGAATAGGGAGGCTCTGGCCTCCATGAGCTCTGTCCCACCACAGACCGGGGAGATACCAGAAGAGGGACAGCAATCCCTCCACAAAGAACATGTAAGCAATACCACAGTGCCAGGGGGAGACCAGGAAAAATTGGGAAAGATCAACCAGGAGCTTCAGAAGGAGCTGCAGAACATGGCTGTGCGCAACCAACTCCTAGAAGGCAAACTTCAAGCCTTGCAAACTGACTACAAGGCACTGCAGCAGCGAGAGGCAGCCATCCAGGGCTCCTTAGCCTCCCTGGAAGCTGAGCAGGCCAGCATCCGGCACCTGGGAGACCAGATGGAAGCAAGCCTTTTGGCTGTGAGGAAAGCCAAAGAGACCATGAAGGCCCAGGTGGCAGAGAAGGAGGCTGCCCTGCAAAGTAAGGAGGGTGAGTGCCGGCGGCTGCAGGAAGAGGCAGATCAGTGCCGGCTTCGGACAGAGGCCCAGGATCAGGAGCTCAGAGCTCTTGAGAACCAGTGCCAGCAGCAGATTCAGCTGATTGAGGCCCTCTCTGCAGAGAAAGGCCACCAGGAACTCAGCCTACCCCAAGTCAACTCGGTCCAACTGGCCCTGTCTCAAGCACAGCTAGAAGTTCACCAGGGGGAGGCCCAGCGGTTACAGAATGAGGTGGTGGATCTCCAGGCCAAGCTCCAGGTGGCCCTAGGTGATCGAGACAAGTTACAGAGCCAGCTGGGTGTGGCTGAGGCAGTCCTGGGGGAGCACAAGACCCTGGTGCAACAATTGAAAGAGCAGAATGAAGCCCTTAACAGGGCCCATGTTCAGGAACTGCTGCAGTGCTCAGAGCGAGAAGGCATACTGCAGGAGGAGAGCATCTACAAGGCCCAGAAGCAGGAGCAAGAGCTACAAGCCCTGCATGCAGAGCTGTCCCAGGTGAGGTGCAGCACTGAGGGAGCCCACCTAGAGCATGCAGAGCTACAGGACCAGCTGCACCGAGCCAACACAGACACGGCTGAGCTTGGCATACAAGTCTGTGCCCTGACAGCTGAGAAGGATAGGATGGAGAGGACCCTGGCCAGCTTGGCCCAGGAGCTCCAGGACTCTAAAGAGGCAGCACTACAGGAACGAAAGGGCTTGGAGCTCCAAGTGATGGGACTACAGCAAGAGAAGGAGCGCTTGCAGGAAAAGCTAAAGGAAGCTGAGGAAGCAGCTAGTTCATTCCCTGATCTACAGGCACAGCTGGTCCAGGCTGAGCAGCTGACCCAGAGCCTCCAAGAGGCTGCACACCAGGAACGAGATACCCTCAAGTTCCAGCTAAGTGCTGAAATCATGGGCCACCAGAACAGATTGAAGGTAAGTCCAGCTTTAGCCATTTCTCAAGGTACACCTGGTGGCTCTACAATGAGATGGCCCTGCAGCAAGAAAAAGGTGAAGACCAGAGAATATCCTGGTTCCATTCAACTTTGGTAGCCCACATTTCTTTGCAGAAACACATCAGGCAGAGTGTGGGGAGTGATGCCTTCATCTAGAAGCCCCTGTTAGTATTCAGGCATCTGTACCTGCCTGTGCTTGGATACACCCTCAGCTGCAATCACTAAGAGCACCACCTGTGCACATTCACTGTGTTCCCTTTTAAAAGGGCCCCGCCCACCTCCCATCTTTGTCTCTTTCTCTCCCTATCTGTTCCCCCCCCTCTGTGTGTGTGTGTGTGTGTGTGTGTGTGTGTGTGTGTCTTTGTGTCTTTCTCTCTTTTTCTCTCTGCCTCTCTTCTGTTCTGCTGCTCCATCCCCAGAGGCCAGCCTCCTCTCTCTCCTCCCCCCTTTTCCCATTCACTTTACCCCCAATAAAAACCCCTCCACCCAAGCTCTGTCACTTGGTGTCTTTATCTCTCGTACTGCTTTTTAAAATTACAACAGCCCCCACTTTGGCCATGGCAGATGTTGGCCCACACAGAACTTTTTAAAAATTAGTAGCCAACATTGGCAGATCAGGATGTACACAAATTAAGAATTATGACATCATTTGAATTCTCAGCAGATCTAATAGCCCATTTCCATATCCCCACAAGGCAGCAGGCAGCAGCTCAAAGAGTGCACACACCCTTCTGCAGCTTCCCCTTTTGTGTGTTTGAGTACAGCCCCTTCCACACATAAGTTTCAGCCGCTAGCCCTGCCTTATCTTTTGGAGCCCCATCATCCATAGGGTCATCGGTCTGTGATATCTTGAGTCCTGGCTCTAGTCTTTACTAAATAATCAGCTTCTCTGAGTACTGTTCTGATGGCTGATAGGGTATAGGGAACTGGCTCAGTTCAGAAAAGCAGGTCCCTTAAAGCAGACAAATCTGAATCCCCAGTAGACCATGGCCTTTGATACTGCATGAAGAAAGGGAGCTAGAGAATGGCAGATAAGAACAGGATAAGTAGCCACAATACTTTGATTTCCAGTGTGTATGTATCCTAGTGGGCCTACCTAGGCCTCTGTGTTCTCAGCCCACTGTGCACCCTCTCCTGCCCCTTCCTAAGAGTGTCCTCCCCACCCCATGAAGTCCCATGAGGCTCCTGTTTGAGAAACAAGCTGCAACTCTTTCCCCTGTAAGTATTTTGTTACCAGCAGAGAAGAAGCTTGTTAAGGACCCACTTCGGGAAACAATACAGTTCTGCTTTTTAGAAACCATTTGGCTGATAAAGGTGGAGTCCCAGAGCAAAAAAAACTCTCTCTTACGATGCCTTCCTCTTCCTTTCCAGGCAGCCAGTGAAGAGTGTGGGAGCCTCAGGGCCCAGCTAGAAGAGCAAAGCCGGCAACTGCAAGTGACTAAGGAGGCTGTGCACGAACTGAAGGTGGGCCTGGCAGGTGTGCTATCAAGGAAAGGGGATCTGGTCTGCTTCTACTGGGTTGTTGCCAGATGCTCCTCAAAATGCAGTCATTGGTTCTGACAATAACCCAATCTGTGTCATGACTCTCTTCTACTCCCTAGACTTTGGGCTAAAAGGAAATTGTTCTTAGTCATCTCTGTTGGCATTCTCTAGAGCCAGTAGAGTGGCACTTGTCCCACTAGTAACCTCACTCCATGCCACTGCACACCACTGAAGAGCAGGTCATATCCCACAAATAGAGAACACAGGACTCTGGCCTCATGAGCTTTAGCACAAAACCTTACCTTAGAAGTGGCCCTGTCAGGAAGTGTGAGTAGTGTACCAGTCTCTTCCCCATGGAGGGTAAGCTTTGTACGCTTGTGTCTTCTCCCGGATATCCTATACCAGGTCACCAAGGCAGCCATGGAGGAGAAACTGAACTGTACCAGCAGCCACCTTGCAGAGTGCCAGGCCACTTTGCAGCAGAAAGATGAAGAAAGCGCTACTCTTCGAATAAGCCTAGAAAGGTCAGTCACGGGTCACCCACACAGCCACTGGTGATCTTCAGGGAGTGGGTAGGTGTACTCCTTTTGGAAAGTCAGCCACTTGGGCTAGATGGGGAAATCCTGCAAAAGCCATGCCATCAGAAAGCACAGGGGCCAGAAGCTTGCCAAAGAAAAGTCAGCCATCTTCCTGCCATAGTCCATATGAGGCAAGGTGCCTTTCATCTGGTGGAGCTTTTTTACTTCCAGCAAGGTGCACATTAACTGCATGCTTCCAAAAAGCCAAAAGCAGGCACCATTAGTGCATGAGATTAATTAATGGGAGTAACAACAAGCATTGAGTCCTGCTTGCAGGGTGGCTTGCTCTATATGCTGCATGTGCAGGCCGAGCATCCTAAGCTGAAAGGCTTGGGAGCAGAATTTTTCATATTTCAGAGCAATTAGGGATGTTTAACTTATAATTACCTATTGTAAGAGGGTTTAGTTTCTCCTCAGTTTGTCACTCTCAGCTTGAGGCCATGTGGAGTTGTAAACCTGAGCTTACTTCTGGAGATGGAGCCAAGCTAATGTAGCTAGGGCTTGCTGAGAACAGTTCATCAGGGAGAGGATCCCTTGGGTGCCATCAGCAAAAGCAAGTATACCAGATTATCCTGAGCCTGTGCCCATCCCTTTTCTCCTTCCTTCCTGCTTGGCTCTGGATTCAATGAAGAAGCCTAGTCACTGGCCTGTTTCTTACAGCTCCGAGCTAGGTCTTGTTTGTGTGATGTAAACAGAGGAGACATTTGAACTGGTATTTTTAAATACTATAAGAATGAAAGCCTGTATACTGGCACATTTTTAAAAACTTTTTATTGATTCTTTGTGAATTTTACATCATGCATCCCGATCCCACTCATCTTCCCATCCCCTTTCCTCCATTCTCTGCCCTTGTGACCCCTGCCCCCCATGTAAAAATATACTCTCAAAACAAAAATGAAGAAGAAAGGAAAAAAATCTTCCATGGAAGCTGTAGTGTCCCAGCAAGTCACACAGTGTACCCCTTAGTCCATACATCTTTACCTGTAGTGTTCTTTGCAGCAGATCATTGGTCTGGCTCTAGGCCTCTACAGATACTGGGCCCTCAATGGGACTCCATCTGGATATCCTGTTATTGTCTTGTGTCATGAGGATCCTGAGCTTTGACTCTGCAGATCCAGCCCCTCCAGCAGTTCATAGATGAGGTGGATGTTGAGGTAGGCTATCAGCCATGTTTCTGGGCCAGGGTGATAGCTGGGCTGGTCAGCCCACCAGGTTTCTCTCATTGTCACCAGGGCGAGCTCTCCAGCACTGCCCCAGCTAGCTCACCCAATGCAGCAGGCATCAAGGAACAGGACCAGTTCTCCTCACGTGTCCTTAGTCTGGCTCATCCAAACTCACATCACCAGAGCCAGCTCTACTGTTTTGCCTAGGCGGGTTATATGGCCCACTCTCCCAATAGCTACCATTGGCTAGAGATAGCTCTTCTGTTCTCTTGCCCCCAAGGCCAGCTCTCCTTCCTGCCACAGTTGACAATGGGTAGGGAGTGGAGGGCATATTTTCCCCCACCCATATCACTATACGGCATATGAGAGATGGGGCAGGCGCTGTTGTTCTGCTCACATCCACAGGACTGGCTCACCTGTGTCTCCCACCCCCTCAACAGGGTCAGCTCTAGTGTGCTCCCCAGGTGAGTTATAGGGCTTGCTTCCCCATATGCTGCAGCCAGTGAGGGGCAAGACCAGCTCTCCTGCTCTCATGACCCTGAGCAATGGACTACTATCAAGGGATGGTGGGGGGGGATATCTTTCCCTCACCCATGCCACCACGTGGCTGGTGGGAGGGGGCAGTCAGCTTTGCTGCTCTCATGCCCTCCAGGCCAGCTCACCTCTCACCACCCCCAGAGAGGGTCAGCTCTACTGAGGTTCAGTGCAGATTCTTCCCCTCTCATTATCCCAGGGTCAGCTTTCCCACCCATCCACAGTTGGGGGTGGAGGGAGTCTTCATTCCCTCCACCATTCTACCATATGGTGGAGGAGGGGTGGGGCCAGATCTCCTATGCACTTGTGTATGAGGGAATCACCTGCCAGCTGATCAGCAGGGTCAGCTCTGCTGTTACACATGTGTTTAATTCCAACATTTTGTGGGCAAGAGGCATGTGGATTCCTCTGAGTTGAGGCTGGCCTAATCTAAACAGCAAGTTCCAGGCCAACCAGAGCAACATAATGAGACCCATTGAAAAATAAACAAAACAAAATGCTGTAAGAATGATTATGTGGAGGATCTCAGGATTTGTTTTCGCTGCCCAGAATTGTACAGTTCACCTGCCTAGGATTAGACTTCCATTGATGTTTTGTGTTATGTGCCCTGAAATCATTTTGTGGACCTTGATACCCTCTGATAGCTATGTGTTAGACTTGGCTGGAAAGCATGCGAACAGTGTAGGCTTTCCAGAGAACTTCTGTTTAATGGAGTTCTTACAAATACCTTACTGGGTCATGAGGTTTGTATCATCCTTAGAAACTGCCACCTAAGGGGATAGTTAAACTACATGTGCAATACATGGGATTGGGTAGACAGCCAGCTCCACCAGCCACTCTGCTGAGGGTCGAGAACAGAATTTCAGGGGATTGGAGGACTTTTGGTAGAGAGCCCAACACTCTCCTCAAGGCAGAGTCCCAAAGACACCTGAGAGCAAGGTCCCTTTGAGAGACCTTTGAGAGACCACACCTCTCCTTTATGTCCTGACTCTTCACCCCTGCTCTTCCTCCATCACCACCCCATAAGCCTTTTCCCATCTGGCTCTTCCCAGCCTCAATCCTGTCCAGGAGTTCTTACAGGAGTGTCATGTCTCACTCACTGAGTATGTTAGCATCCTGGAATGTCTCTGCCATCCCAGAATTACCCCCTCCCCTTGCATGTTTGGGAGGGAGGTAGGCAGAGTGTTGGATTCTGGGATAATGCATAACCTGTGAGCAGGTTATACCTCACCATGAGAGGGAAAGGCCCAGGGGGCAGCAGGACCTCTCATGGAAGGCCAGAAGAACCCAGAGATTCCAGGAAGCTTAATGTCAGAGGAAATGTATTTCTCCTCTCCCAGAACTCAGAAGGAACTTGAAAAGGCCACATCAAAAATCCAAGAATATTATAACAAACTCTGCCAGGAGGTAAAAAACAGGGAAAGGAATGACCAGAAGATGCTGGCAGACCTAGACGACCTGAACAGAACCAAGAAATACCTTGAGGAACGGCTGATAGAGCTGCTCAGGTGAGTGCCAGACAGTGGCGACCCTGTCTAGGATTGGCTTTACTTAGGGGAAAAAAGATTATTTTTGAAAATGGCAGTTCAATGGAAATGGACCCTTCTCCTCTGCTGTCAGGGAGCCATGTGTCTGCAGGATTCAACTAGGCTTTGGCAGTCTTGAAGGCTGGATCTCTCTGATCATAGCAGTGATTTGGGGTTTTTGTGTGGATGCAGGATTATATCCAAACTCTGGGTGCCTGACAAAGAAAGACGAAATGACACTTAGTAACTGGTCATTTCTCCATCTCTTGCTCATTTCCAATGAGCCTTCTCCTCTTGTACTGTCCTACTTTTCCTAGGATCGGGGCTCCCTGTAGGAACCCAATAGCAGAAGGGACTGAGGGACCCAGTATGTTCTACTCTTGCCACTGAAAAGTAGCCATGGTGCCATATTTTCCAAGACAGACGTGGGAAACTAGATTTTTATGTGAAATGTCCTTGTTGTGAAATGTTTGCAAGTCAACTCACAACTTTAACTTTTTCTTAAAGGAATCAGATATGCAAGATAAAATATTTTAACTGTGTTTTCTGTCCTTCTGTTCTTCCGTCCTTCTGTGACAAAACACTTGACAAAAGCAATTTAAGGGAGGAAAGATTTGTTTTGGCTCGGGGTCCAGACAATTTCAGTCAGTCTTGGCAGGCAAGGCATGACAGTGGGATTGGCTCAGTCCATGGCAGTAGGAGTTTAAGGCAGTAGTAATATTCCATGTCTTAGCAGATAGGAAAGACCCCCAATGACCCACCTCCACCAGCCATCCTTTGATCCCAAAAGTTCCACAGCCTCCTCAAATAGCACTACAAGCTTTGGGGGGGCCAAGAGATCAAACAAATATAGGGGGGGTATTTCAAACTCAAGTCATAATAATTAACACACGATTCAACCTCAACAGGAATCAACCCATGGCCGCTTTTGTTTTCCCAACTCTAGATTGCTTTGAAGCAAAACCTAGACATAATATTACTTTATCTATGAACACTCCATATCGAATTTCCAAGACAAGAAATCTTTTTCCTTTGTTTTGCTGTATTTTGTTTTGAGACAGGGTCTTACTATGTATCTTTGGCTGGCCTGAGACTCTCTATGTAGATAAATCTGGCCTCAGACTCACAAAAATCTATCTGCCTATCTACCTCCTGAGTTCTGGGATTAAAAATGTGTACTACCACACTCAGCATCCAAGACAAGAGGTCTTATACAACTATACCTTGAAAAATGAATGTGTCAAGAGACACTTGATAAAACCCAAGAGATCAGAGCTCACTCACTTCCATTTGTGGTAGAAGCAGTCATAAGTGTAAATTGCCTAGATTCACTCACTCATTAGGATTCCAGGTATCTTCTTGAGGAATGTGGTAGAGAAACCAAGTAGCATTCTCACAGTCCAAGGTGTAGGTATATGGCTTCCTAAGGATATTGAGGTCAGGTGCTATGGACTCACTGGAAGAACAAGCTGGTCCAGAAGATGAGTCAGTGTGTCTCCTTATAATTTAGGTTTCCTTAGCCGGGCGGCGGTGGTGGTGCACGCCTTTAGTCCCAGTACTCAGGAGGCAGAGGCAGGTGAATCTCTGAGTTCAAGGCCAGCCTGGTTTACAAAGTGAGTTCCAGGATAGCCTCCAAAGCGTCAGAGAAGCCCTTTATCAAAAAAAAAAAAAAATTAGGTATCCACCCTCAAGGCAGCTCAGAACTATTTTTAACTACAACTCCAGGGGGATCAGATGCCCTCTTCACACTTAACAGGCATGATACACTGACACACATGCAGATGAACTGTGTATTGCATAGCATTCCCATTATCAGCTTGGTGACATACTACATATATCATGTGCCTTTTACATGATGTTTTGTGGTGCCTTTGGAGATGTCAGCAGAGAAAGCCTATGTTTTGGATTTCTCAAGTTGGGAAGAGGGCATTTACAAGGAAAGTGATTTAGCTTCTATGGCTTGGAACATTTGATATCAGCTTTCTGAAATGAAGCAGGAGTCATTCTCTGCTTCTCGTGGATTCTTAAAATGTGATATTATTTCAGGGACAAAGATGCTCTCTGGCAAAAGTCCGATGCACTGGAATTCCAGCAAAAGCTCAGTGCTGAAGAGAAATGTATTGGGGACATGGAAGCCAACCACTGCCATGACTGCAAGCGGGAGTTCAGCTGGATCGTGCGGCGGCACCACTGCAGGTTAGCAGCAGGCAGCTCACCTGACTGGAGTCAGGACATAGCTCTGGGTGAGGGATCTAGGAAAAGCACTTGCTTGTTTACCAAGGGAAGCAGAAGAGTATGTATCACTTGGGTCCTAGCTGGACATTCAAGAGAAATGTGGGTGGGATTAAAGGAACTCACAGGCGTGTGGTATACTCAGAGACCAGCAACCCTTTAGCTATTTTCGATCCTATGGGGGAAGGCAGATGGTGCCAGAGAATGCAGATCCTTCAGGCACCTAGGAAAGACAGGTAAAGAGAAAAGGCACACTGGGAATTGGATACAGCTAAGTGCTCTCTTAGAGACCCCTCCAGACAGTAAACGTGGCATGCACACCTGTAGCCTGATGTTAATCAGACCTTTTCTCCCTGCCTTGAGGCCTATGGAAGTAAACCACTCTCTACTAAGCTCACCATGATGGTTTTGTTGGAATCTTATGAAATGGGTTTACAGCACACTACATTGAGGGCAGAGTCTGGAGAGTCATAGGCTATCAGGAACCCAACACAGAAACCTGTTCTGGTGCTTGGCAGATCTCAGTGATCCACAGTCCATTGTGCATCATTCTCACAGCCTGTGCTTGTTTCATTCCCAGGATATGTGGCCGCATCTTCTGTTACTACTGCTGTAACAACTATGCAGTGACTAAGCCCAGTGGCAAGAAGGAACGCTGTTGCCGAGCCTGCTTCCAGAAGTTTGGCGAAGGCCCTGGATCCCCTGATAGCAGTGGCTCTGGCACTAGCCAAGGAGAGCCCAGCCCCATGGTTTCACCAGCTGAAGCAGGCTCCCAGACCATAGGAAACCAAGGTCAGAACCCTGCCTCGTGGGTTCATAGATGTCACTGCTTTCTCACTACGGCCAGTTAGCTTGAGCAAGCTTCATTCAATGTATCCCAAACTTAGGTGTTAAAGAGATGCTAAATATATACTACCACCAGCCTAAAACTTTGTTATATTATTGGGGTTGATAAGCAAGTAACTTTCCCCTGCCATGACTGAGTGTGATTTAATATGAGCATGTATACATACACGTGTACTACATTAGACTATACTCCATGAATTGAAGAATCGGTCCTCCGGGACCTCCTTCCTGATACCCATTATCTGCCCTGTGGTAGCATAAGACCAGCAATTTTGCCTTCAGTAGACAATATCTTTCTCCCTTTCTCTTAATGGCCAAGGACAATGTATTCTTTGTGTCTTCCACCTCAGCCAGAAAGCAGACACAGCATTTGATTCCTGCTACTTCTGCCTCCAACTCTCCCTAATAGGTGACCAGACTGTCTTCTGGACACTGCACTTTAAATGTAGAGCCAAGGATCAGAACTGAGATGGCAGAGATAGGGCTTTTCTCTGTTCAGGCATCACTGCTAGCTGCAGTTAGTTCTTGTGAACTCTCCTTTGATCTCAGCCTGGATGCAGCCTAAGAAACCTTCAGAACCTTGTTCCTCTCTTCTTTAAATGGTCAGGGGTCCCTACCACTCATGAATGGGACTTGTGCTTTTCACACACAGCATTGGGGACTTCAAATCTTTCTCAGTCTTTTAAAAACTGAAGTTTACAAGTCCTACATACTCTGGACATGTGTTCTTTATCAAATATGTTTTATAAATGTTTTCTCCCAATTTACAGCTTTTCTTTTTGATGAGCAGAAGTTGTAGTTTTGATAAAGTAATATTTATATCATGTTTTATGTATTAGTTTTTTTATGTATCTAACTTTGTTTTCCCCTGTATTCAAAAGGTTTTTTCCTTCTAAAAATTTTGGGTTTGGGACTTTGTTCTGGGAGGTGAGGTTGGGTGAGTGAGTGGTTGAGTGAGTAGTTTGTTTGCGACAGGGACTCATTTTGTAGCCCACCTCTCCTTTTACTCTGGGTAGACTGGCCTGGATTCAAACTCAGAAATCGGCCTGCATCTGGTACTGAGTGTTAAGATTAAAGGTGTATGCCACCACGCCTGTCTTCTTCTAGTTTTTATTATTTTAGGATTTTATTTGTGTGTGAGTGTGTGTGTGTGTGTGTGTGTGTGTGTGTGTGTGTGTGTGTGTGTGTTTTGAGACAGGGTTTCTCCATGAAACAGTTCTAGCTATCCTGGAAGACATTCTATATACCAGTTTGGCCTCAAGCTCACAGAGATCTGCCTGCCTTTGCCTCCCCAGTGCTGCAATTAAAGGCGTGTGCCACCATGTCCAGCTATTTACCATAGATTCGTAATGCATCTTACTGACAAGCAAAAAAAGCCCTCCAATTTTGTTCTTTATTGAACATATAAGTTTTAGAATGAGCTTCTCAGTTTCTAAAAATAAATCATGATGAGGTTTTCATTGGACCTAGAGAGCAGTTTGGAGAGATTTGACATCTTAATAAAGGGTTGTCTATTTCAATCCATGAGCATGATATAGCTTCCATTTTTTTGTTTTTCAAGACAGGGTTTCTCTGTGGCTCTTTTTTTTTTTTTTTAGGCTGTCCTGGAACTAGCTCTTGTAGACCAGGCTGGTCTTGAGCTCACAGATATCTGCCTGCTTCTGCCTCCAGAGTGCTGGGATTAAAGGCATGTGCCACCAACACCCAGGCTGTAACTGGGTTCTTTTTGTCAGTTTGTTCTTCTAGTTCTCTGTTACAGAAACTTGAGAGGAAAAACATTACCTCTAAAGCAGAAGACAGGTAAACTGTTCTTACTAAGTAGCCTAAATTCCCTTGTGTTATCTTACTGGTAGGTGTACAGCAACAATAAAGTGATACTATGTTAGGGTGCTGAGATTGCTTGTTTTGATTTCTCTCATTTTCTGTCTGCTGTTTTTTCTTCTGCCTCAGACCTTATATTAAACATGATACACGTCTATGGGTAGCTTGATTGGCACAGTGACCTGCTTATTGAGTGGTCAAGGTTAAACACAAGACCCAATGCCTCCTGCAGCTCCCTGGACAAAGAGAGGTTCTGTTCTTCCCAACAGTGGACCGGAATGGGGGAGGGCATGAAGTCAAATAATCTCCTGCTTCAGATTATTTCTGACTGTGTCTAATAGAACAAGGTCTCATTGGATCAATATATTTTCTGTGTTAGTTTCTTATCTGATATAGTTTTGATAGATTTTGTTTTCCTTCTAAATAGGGGTTCTAGAGGATGTGGAAGTAGTTGAAACTTCTACTCTGCCTTTGAGAGGGGGTCTTGAGGCTGTATATTCAAAATCTTGTGTAGTTTTCCCTGGAGTGTCTCAGCAGTCTTCCTCTCATACCTATATGGAACAGCAGTCAGTTAAGAGACTATTTAAGATGTATTCCATTAGCTTGTTCCCCGTAGCAGCACCCCTCACTTCCCTGTTACCCCAGTCTTATGCATAATGGTTTGTATGTCTTTTTCTCTCCTGCTTTGCCTCCACCACCCAGGAGCAAACTCAGTCTGCAGACCACCAGATGATGCTGTGTTTGACATCATCACTGATGAAGAATTGTGCCAGATTCAAGAATCTGGCTCCTCCTTGCCTGAAACACCCACCGAAACTGATTCAATGGACCCAAATATGGCTGAACAGTGAGTAGATGTCACCTCCATTTCCTATGTACTCATTAAGTGCCTGTTCTTTGTACTTTCGTATCAAAAGACCAGGAAAGTAAGATACTAGAAGCAGGATTAGCTGTCTCTGACAAGGGAAAATGTCTCGGAACAGTATTCAGGGTAGGGTGGCTCTTAAAACGTGACAGTGCTCAGGGAACATTCAGGAAGGTACTGAATCAGAAAGTTCCTGGGAACTATGTGTGGTGCCCTGATTCAGCATCTTCATTAAGGGTAGTCTTTGGGTTAGGCAACTATATTAGTCAGCTCAGGATGCCACAGCAAGAGACCACAGGTTGAGTGACTTAAACCATGGAAATGCAATTTATTGCTATCCTGGAGGCTGGATATCAAAGATCAGAGTACTGGCAGACGTACTTGTGAATTTTGTGTTCTTCTCCCTTAGTTTGCAGATGACACCTTCTTGCAGCGTCTTTACATGGTCATCCTGGATTTTTACCCATGTCCCTTAATCTCCATTTCATGTGAGGACACTGGTAGATTTTTAATTTAATCACCTCCTTAGAGGTCTTTTGCAATTAAAATCACACCTATGATGTACTCGGACCCTGTAAATCCATGAGACAAAATAAATTCTTCCTCCCTTAAGTTACTTCTGTCAGGTATTTTGTGATGAAAATGGTAGCTATTACAGGAATTTGGGGTTGTTGTGATTAAATCTGACTATGGTTCTAAGGCATTTGGGGAAGAATGTGGAAAGGTTTGGAAATGCCAGCCAGCAAAGCCCTAGAAAACTGTAAACAGAGCTTTAGTGAGCTGTTTTGGTCGTTGTTCACAAGATCAGAATGCCACTAGAGATGTGTACAGTATAGACTGTGCCCATAAAGTCTTTGCTATGAATAAGGACTCTATCAGGAATTAAGGCAGAGGTCATTCATGTTACATTTTGGCTAAAATTTTGTATTTGTGAGACGGCAGTAAGGCTTTGGGGATCAGGACTAAATGTTATGTTTTGAACCTGAAATGTCCCTGCCAAGTTTGTTTTGAATGTTTGGTCCTAGGCTTGTGGCATTATTTTGAAGGCTGTGGATCATTTAGAAGGTGTGGCCTGACTGGTAGAAGTAGAAGTCAGAGAAGTTACTAAAGATGAGCCTATGAAAGTTTAACCTATCCCTGGTTCTAGCATAAGTTCTCTGCTTGCAGACCCAGTGTCATGTAAACAAGTCTAGATGGAGCTGCTCTTCACGCCTTCCCTGCTATAGTGGACTTATAGTCTCTGAGCCAAAATAAATCCTTCCTTAAATTGCTCCTGTCAGATATTTTATAATAGCAATGAGAAATGTAGTGAATATAGTCTCAAAATTGCTTGGCCAACTTTACTTCTGGTGAAGAAGATTTCTGTCAGCTCATGTTGACTCACAGATCTCTATCTCCTGCTCAGAATCCAAAACAGAACCAGGAGTTAATTGTTATCTTTGTCATGTCAATTTCTGCCACGTGGGAGGGCTGTACTTAATCTTCATGAGGCTGTTAGCCTAGATTTTAGCTTAAATGTATCTCTACACTTGTGTGTTCTCTGACTAAAGTCACTGAATGCAGTTCATGGGCCAAACCTAAGATAGGTCCTATTCACTGTTGCCCCTATGACTTTGGACCAATTCTGTCCTTCCTTAAACACTTCTCTGACATACACTGATCAGTAATCATCATTGTTCACCCTGACCCCCTTGATCCAGTGGTCCCCAGGGTATCGTCTCTTCCTTTAGCAGTAAACTACATTCTGCCCTTGGTACCTGGCAAGCTACATGGATAGAAGGGTGAGTAGACCAGGAACTAGGAACCCAGAAGGATGCCATTGATTTGAAAGTGTCTTTTCACAAACACCTGGAACCTGCATAAGGCAACTGTTGTCCAGCTTCCTCCCTTATCTTTCACCTTCCTCTTTCCTAGTAGGAACAGAAACAGAAAGCTTCCAGAGTGCTGACCAGTACGTGTAGTTATTGGTCTTGGGAAATCAGGAACTGTTCCAGAGAAAGGAAACTACCAGTATGCTGGCCCGCAGCTACCAATGCAGGTCTGGGATTAACTGGTGGGAACCTGTGCTCCTCTATATCTCACCTATGTGAAAGAAGAGCCACCTTTCTACACTATAGATTGTGTGTTAGCATGGATGGTAGCTTTTCCGTAGCATTCCTTTTTTTCCCATGTTTAAAACTCAAAGATATCCAGCGTCTAAGAAAGTATGGGGAAGAGAGCCCTAGACTTGCACCAGCATCCCTCACAGCAAAGTTAGAGGGAAAGGAATCAATCTGGGGAACAAAGTAATGAAAGAGGAATTAAGCTTTGACCCTTCCTGGAAATGATAGAACAAGGAAGTCTCCAGATCCAGCTTCACTCTCAGGGAAACCTAGCAGGATCTCCGGTAACAACTGCCTTTCCCCCATTCTTGGCTTACCTTAATTGGTGGTACTTAGCAGGAACACAGACCTCACCTATAGCAGACAGATGTCCTTCACAACCTTTCAGATATGCATGAAGCCTCTCCCTCAGTGTCCTAGACGCCACTACCCAGATTTCCAGTTGTTCTCAGAACTGAGTGATAGGTAGTTGGCTTCCTTGGCCTCTGCCCAGCTCACATACAGCTAAAGTCTCCAATATCTGGCCTCCTCTCTAGGTACCAGATATACGGGCCATTCAGGGTGAAGAGCTTAAGCTCCAGACCCAAACAAGCCTCCAGGCCCTCTTCTGGAGAGCCTAGAATCATCTACCCCTCCTTAAGAAAGGTGATTGGAGACAGGGTCTGGGCCAGAAACCTTCTGTGGAAATAGGTGATGTTCCTGATGTTGATGCTGAGTTTTGACCATCAGACTAGGCTGTGAGTATCTACTGTGTACACATGCTTCTCAATATCTTCAATTTATAGCCTCATCTTTAAAGAAAAAAAAAAAGCCTCCTTCAGTACCCAGATTACACGAAATGATCTGAAACCTACTCTCAGAGTCTGCTCGCCAGCAATTGTTTCAGAACCAGGGCTTTGCGGCCAGAGCGCTTAGCAGGGGAAGTGTGGTCACCAGACAAGAGATCTGATGCCTACTATCTCAAAAACGAAACAAGGACAGGATATGGTGATCATGGTTAAAGTTCAAAAGCCACCTTGTGCCTGTGTTAACCCGGGACCTCTGACTACAGAAGAGTACACAGCAGGCAGGCCCTCTGTGTGGTATAACACCTGCCTGCTCTGTGGCCAGTGTTTAGGGCAGAGAGGCTGCTAACAAGGACCAGTCCTCATTCAATTCTCTGAAACATAGCTAGGATAGTCTGGATTCAAGCAGGGTACATGTTCATCTAGTTGTTCCCCCAACTCCACTGTAGCATGCTGGCCTTTGATATGATCTGCTGGTATGAGCAAAAAGGGGAGCCAAAGGTGGGAAAAAGAGATGGCTTAGTGTTTGAGACTTCTAACTCCTCTAAAGGAATGGAGCCTGAAGCAACAGCCTTTCCTGGCCATGGTGCAGATAGCTTTCAGGTCAGAGACAAGCCCTCTTTAACTAAACACATGCTGGGATTTTTCTTTAGTTTTGTTTTTGGTGTGTGTGTGTGTGTGTGTGTGTGTGTGTGTGTGTGTGTTTATTGCTAATGGTAGTATAGATACAGGAGGAGATAGAAACATTCCCCAGGTTGGAGTAAGTAGATGCCCAGAGAATGGGCAAATAATGGCTGAGGAGGCAAAGAGAAGGAAGGTTCTATTGCTGTGTTTTCCTGGCAACAGACAAACACAGGCTTATAAAGGCCAGTATAAACATTTCTGTGGGGAACCTGGAAGAGTGAGTGATCCAGCAGGCTTTCCCATCTCATCTGATTTGTTTTGGGGGCAGATGGCTGGTCAGGGATGGTCCAGGGAGCATTGTCACCTGGCACTGTGAATTGGTAAGCCAGGCCTTGGAGAGGCTTTCTAGAATTAGCCCCCGCTGGCACTGTCTCTTGAGTGCTGAGTGCCCAACCCTGCCTCTCTCTAGAATACGTGTATAGATAGCTACAGGGCCCTGTCACCTGACTCATCTTCCTTCCCATTTAGAGCCTGTATCTCCTGAGCTGGAATATTAGAGAAATTGGGGACTCAGGCCCCCTCCATCAGCAGTGTTGCAAATAAAGACAAATGCACTGACTGCCTTAGCACCCTGCATTGAGCAGGCTGGTTGCTTGAGTAAGCACTAGATCTTACATGTCACTTGTACATAGCAAGGAAGTGTACTATAGCCCTTATGTGTGTTTAATAAAACGGTGCATGGGACCATGTGGGTACTCCAAGGTGTAGTCACATTTTGATGAGCCAGAATTCATGTGGCATACCCTGTATGTCCAGGAAAAAAGTACACAATAGCCTATGTCACTACACTCACCCATATGGATGGCAGAGGGAACCTCTACTAGTTTGTCTAAGAAATAACTGCTGTCAGTTTGGAGACCTTTCATCTACAAATAGGTTGTGCTGTGGGGTTTTTGATTGGATTTTGTTTTGAGACAGGGTCTCTTGTAGCCTAAGTTGACCTCAAGCTTTCTCTAAATGAGAATAACCTTAAACTTTTGATCCTCCTTCCTTCACCTCCCAAATACTGGGATTATAGGTATGTTTCATCACACCCAATTTTAATGTAGTGCTGGGTCCAAACCCAGGACTCCATGCATGCTGGGTGAGCATCTACCAACTGACCTATCTCCCCAAAGTCCTCCTCAAATTAATGGAGAGACTTGTGCAGTCTCACTAAAAAGAAATGGCCAAAGGGTAAGAGATTTGTTCAGGTCAGGTATGCTGGCCTGTGTCCTTAACCCAGCACTTGAGAGTCAAAGAGACAAGTAGATTTCTGTGAGGCCAGGCTGGTCTACATAGCAAGTTCCAGACTGATCAAGGCTATGTAGTCATGAAGGAGGGAAGGAGCTGCAGCCATAGGCTGCTCTTTCCAGCCCCTGAGCCCAGGGTTAGCTAAACTCTTGTGCATTCTGGTCAGCCTTTTTAGGTAGATGTTCATATTTAGGTAAATGATTTGGTGGTTTGAACACCCAACAAACACCTATAGGGCCGTTCACCTGATTGTCAGGATCTAGTCAGCATCAATCTAGTCTGGCATGTAAAATTACCTCATCCTGGAGCAGTATTACAGGGTTAAACAGATGCACCCCACATCTTGGGCAGGAGCAGGAAACCACTGTGAAAGCAAGATTGTTACCATTGCTATAGTCTGCTTCCTTCATAGACCACTGCCCCTAAAGTTTAATTTTAACTCCTTTAGTCTAAGCCTAGAAGTTAACTGGTTTTTTTATTTTTGTTTTTGTTTTTTGTTTTTTGTTTTTTGTTTTGTGCTGTTTGTGAGGGTTTATTTTGTTTCGTGTTCCGGGTTTACCAAATTAAAGTAGAATGTACCTAAAGATGAAAGCAGTTTGAAAACTTTTAAAAGGTTTTATTTCTTAACCAAGAAACTCATAATATTTGATACATTGTGTGACAGGCATTGGAAAGTCCCATTTTGGTTTTTTTGTTTGCTTGTTTGTTTTTAAGATGAGCAAAGCCACCAGAGTCCCTCTAATAATGCTGCTTAGAGTTGTTATAGTCTTAACCTCCTTTTTACTCATTTCTTTATCATTGTGTGGACCACTGAAATTCAGCTATTTACTCTGGCCTAGTGTCAGTTTCTTACGCTGCACTTTCAAGGAGTAATCTGAGAAAATATAAGCATCCACCAATACAAAAGTCAGACCTCTGGAAGAATCAGAGCTTGGTGTCATCCTATTAGGAGCCTGGTGACAGGTCTGAGCCACATAGACCAGCACTTGTGTGGGGGTTTCTCAGCTCTCCACTGCTTGCCTATAAAAGAATCTTCTGAACTCAGGAACCAGCATGTTACCTGTCATCAACAGCTTTGTTGATGCAGCTCTTCTTCAACTTTTAGCCCAAACCTGAAATCTCTAGAGTTAACATTCTTGAGGATGGAAGAGAAAAGGTGCTTAAAAATCTCAAAACAGTCTCATTTGAGCACTGAGGCTTAGATATTAAGAACAGGGTATGTGTATATTTCTGAGAAGCTTTGTATACAGCCACAGTTTTCGGTGACTTCTCCACAGGAGTCCACATGCTATAAGCAAAGCCTTTCTTGTTGCATCCAAAGGACATAGCCATGCTCCTAAGAATTCTGATGCTAGTTTCTCCAAGTCTGGCCAGGCCTACTACAATTGGAACATACTGGTGGTCTCTACATTGTGGGAGGCAGAACAAGTCTTGGAACTGTCCTCAGAAGACTTCCCCTGACTTGAAACCCCCAAGTAAGGAAGGCAGCCAATGTCCTTCGCAAGTTTCCAGAGGTTCTTCCGGAACTTTAAGCCAACAAAGGCATAAAGTACAGGGTTTAGGCAGGCCCGAAAGTATGCTATAGCCTCTGTCACTAGGATGGCATACTGGAAGCTGGTCATGGCATAGTGCTCCCAGCTTGTGCTCCTGATTAACATGGCAAGATTGAAGGGTGTCTGTGTCAGCAGGAACACAGCCACAACAACGAAGATGATCTTTAGAGATTTGTGCTTCTGGAAGCCTCGAGCATGAAGCAAGGTCTTGATAATGCTTGAGTAGCACATAATCATAGTGAACAATGGCAAGAAGAACCCCAGAGACATCTGTGTGGCAAGAACCACAGTGGAAATTGCCTCATTGTGGTACTGACAGATAAGCTTGTCCAAATGTTCAACATTACCATAGATGATCTGTGGCAAAGAGACCAACAGGGAGACCACCCAAATGAGCAAGCAAGTGATCTGGCCCCAGATCTTCCACTTAGCCTGCTGATTAAAGACTTTGGTAGCCTGGACCACTACAATGAAACGATCCACTGTGATGCAGGTGAGAGTGAGCATGGACACATAGAAGTTCACTGTATACATGCCTTGAAGAGTTTTGCACATGACAGTGCCAAAGACCCACTCATAGGTGCCTGCGTAGGCCCAAAAGGGCAGAGTACAGACAAATACCAGGTCAGCCAGAGGCAAGTTCATCAGGAACACATCTGTCAGGCTCCTCAGCTTCTGGTAGAAAATGTATATAATTAGAACCAGGGAGTTTCCTACCAGTCCAAAAATAAACACCACCAGGTACATGCAGGGAAGAAAGACCTCCTTGAACTTTACAAAGTGTTCGTGCTCCTGACTGTTATCAGTGGAAATGTTGAAGAGCCAGGGATCTGCCTCGTAGTCCTCATCCTTCATGGCGTCTGATGTGGCAAACATCTGTGTGTCAAAACCCAAGAGTTAATATTTGGTTCTGTCTGAGTGACATTCTTTCTTCCCACTGTCCTTATTAACTGAATTTAGGGAAAAAGTTATCTCTAACCCCACTTGTTACCATGCTCAGTAATAGCAGTGTGCTGAAGGTGGCCATTTCCCAGGGGAACTGCTCACCCAGCATGAGGGACTCTTCATTAACACTAAAAAATCTCACACTCCTCCCATGTATATCCCATAAAACAGTACACTCAATTGTTTAAAAAGAAAAAGATACCATGTAATCAAGTGGACGATGTAACCCTTTAGTTTTTTGTCTTGTTTTGTATTTTGTGTGTTTATGTATTTTATGTGTATAGATGTTTTGCTTGCATGTGTGCCTGTGACCTCTCTGTGTGTGCAGTGCTCACCAAGGCCAGAAGAAGACATTAGATTGCCTGGGGCTGGAGTTACAGATGGTTGTGAGCAGCTATGTGGTGCTGGGATTCAAGCCCAGATCTTCTGGAGACTGTCTAGTACTTGTAGCTGCTGAGCTCTCTCCCCACAACTATTTGGAAACACAGGCCGCTGTCTGTCAGGGAGGCCTTCCTCCATCTGCTGGGGTCTCATAGCAGGTGCCTGCCACTCTCTGCCCTGTACTGGTCAGTTTTATGTCAACTTGACACAAGCTAGAGTCATTTGAGAAGGACTCACTTGAGAAAATGTCTCCATAAGATTGGCCTGTAGGCAGGTCTGTAGTGTATTTCCTTAATCAGTGATTGATATGTGAGGGCCAGCCCATTATGGATGGGGACACTCCTAGGTTGGTGGTCCTGTGGGCTATAAGAAAACAGGACAGGCAAGGCAGGAAGGACAAGCCAGTAAGCAGCACTCTTTCATGGCCTGTGCTTCAGTTTCTGCCTCTGGATTCCTGCTCTCAATCCCTTCCCCGATGAACTGTGATCAGGATATGTGAGATGAAATAAACCCTTTTCCCCTCAAGTTGCTTTTGGTCATGATGTTTTATCACAGCAACAGAAACCTAAGATAGCCCTACTTGGTGTTAAAAATCATGAAAACCAAATCAAATGCCCCTTCTAGGAGGTGTCCTTACTAGTATCTATAGGAGCTTGGGGGATGGCAAGAACTGTGTCTGACTGGCAAGTTCTTCCTGTTTACTCTTCTTCAGCTGTAGAGTGTGAAGGGTAATTGATGGGGAGACAAGGGAAAGAAAACCCTTAGGTGCCCAGAACTTTGACTGATCAGGGAATTCAGGTGTTGTCCTGACTTCCAAACCAAACTTTTCCATTTATCATCTCTGTTGGTTTATGGGATCTATGCTGGAGCCTCAGATCCTGGAGAATTAGAATGGTGCATGTAGTGGTTGCTGAGTAGGTGTGTAGCAAACACCACATGCCTGCCTTTCTTGCCCAGGACTTCATCTTCCATGGCTGTCATGTTCCTGACCCTGCTCATCCTCTCATTTTACCAAGGACCACAAGCAGCATAATGTAACCTGTGGCCTGACTGTAGGGGCCAGGCTAATATATCCCACTGGTGTAGGTTCTATAAGATGTCTTAAGATGAGCAAGTGTTTGGGTAGAACCTCTGTAAGATTTACCAAAACAAAATATTCCCTAGTCAGGTGAGGGTATATGAAAGTTGAAGACACCCTCCACTTTTAATCAACATGGTCATTTCTTGCACTGAAGTTGAGTCCTAGGAGGAAACAGTGTCCACTCTGATGGTTCTGCAACCTCTTCCTTCCCTAGAGCCATAATCCCTTTTCTCACCACCAAGGAAGGACTTACTGCCTTTACAGTAAGACTACTCAGTCCCATGCTTAGACCTCAAGGCTAGATATCCAGTCTTGATAGGCGGGAGTTAGGCATCCTACTCCACAGCTTTCTGAGGTGCTAAAATAAGGTCAGATATTGGTGTGTATGTTATTGACTTACATAGGGATGATTTATTTTTCATCATTTAAAATATAAAACAAACAGCTTTGCTTTCCCAATAGTGTCATCCAGTTCTCTGTTACCTGACTTACGTGTATTTGCCTTTTTGTTGTCCTATTTTTTTCTGGATACAACCCTAGCATGACTCTTCAGAAAATGTACACACTCGTATTCAATGTTATGTTGGCAGATAGGAGCTACACTGTACAAATGCAGTATTGAAAATCATTGGACTGGGGAGATGGCTGTCAGTAAAGTGCTTCCTTTGCAACCATGAGTACCTGAGTTAATTCCCTAAAAACTCACATTTAAAAAAAAAAAAAAAAAAAAGTGGGCATGCTGGTGTACACTTGTAACCCCAGCACTGAGAGGCAGAGAAATGTTCTTGGGACTCACTGGCCAGACAATCGTACTAGCCTATAAGGTGAGTTCAGGCCAGTGAGGTCCCAGCAAAAAAAGGTAAACTGTGCCTGAGGAAAGACACTTGTTTACATATGCATTTATACCCACAAATATACAAATATGCATGCACAGGTACAAATCACAGCCTCTTATACAAAAAGTTAAGAACATTTCTTTACAATCAAAATTTTGACTTACGCAAATGAAAAAGTAATAAAACTTTGGACATAATGTGAAAGGCTGATAATAAACCATAATTGTATCTGAAGCATAGAATGTAACTCAAATATTTAAGAAGTACTTTTAATTATTTTGGAAGTTTTGTTATACTTAAATTACTGAAAACAGAATAAATATGAGAAAAACATGCAAAAAAAAAAAAAGCATGAGCTATTATGGTTACAACAAATAGATGGCACCCCTAGTCTTCCTGCTTCCACCTCCAGGTTCTGGAATCGCTGCCACAATTGGCTTCTTAACCTTTTGTGATCACAAACCTCTTTGAGAAGAATCTCATTAAAGCTGTAGCCTTTGACTGAGCAATAATGTCCATGAAACTATAATTCTATAGACTTTTTTGTTTTTGTTTTTTTTTTTGTTTTGTTTTTTTTTTCAAGACAGGTTTTCTCTGTGTTGCTTTGGAGGTTGTCCTGGATCTCGATCTGTAGACCAGGCTGGCCTCGAACTCACAGAGATTCACTTCTCTGCCTCCCGAATGCTGGCATTAAAGTCGTGTGCCACCAACGCCCAGCCTATAGACTCTTGTTTAAAGAACCTTTGATAACATAATTTTGACGACAGTCTTTTTTTTTTTCCCTCCCTTCTCTTCTCCCCTTGACTACAGTCTTAAAGGACCAAACTCCATAAGCATTGGCCTTTGGCTGGCAGAATTACAAATTACTTAATTTATCTCCTTTTTATTTTTCTGTAGTCTACAAAATATGCAGTTTTGAAATGCTTTTATACTACAAAAAAAAACATGAATGGTAATTGAGAATTACAGCTTGTTGTATAAGGTGCAAAAGAACAGAAAACAGAAAAATTATTGATAAAAATAAAGACCAGCAACTAGACTGTTTTATGTCCCTGGGTGGATCTGGTTACTCCATTACTACATTTCTCATCCTTTTATAAGCACTTGCTGTATGCCAGAACCAATAAAGTTGTTTTCATATTTCTCTAACCCTTACAACAACCATGACACTGGCAGATGAGAGCCGTGTGTATCTGAATTCAGTAGCTTGCACCGTGTATACAGGCAGGAATCTGAGAGAACCTACAAAAGCAAATGACTCACCAATAAGGAAGCCCCAGTAGCTTTGTTCCAGGGTGAAGTAAGCTCACTCCCGGTCTGCCTCTGCTGCTCTGTGATGTGTGTGATCTGTGCCTCTGCTGCTCTGTGATGTGTGATCTGTGCCTCTGCTGCTCTGTGATGTGTGATCTGTGTTTCCGTCAAATTCTAAGAGACTTCAGCTAAGGCAGCACATCCACGTAACGATCTTGACAAGCCCGCCCACTTAATTTGAGAGTCAAAGATGAAGCATGGTTTTGTGCTTCACACTCCCTTTCTCTTGCCTTGGCACATAATCTGCTGTTAAAACCTGATAGGTTTCCATTTGTGAACTAAAGGGGAACAGTAAGAAGATTTGACTTTTGTCCACTGAAGATGGTGGACTTTGTCACGCATTTCTTTGGAACATTTTGGGTCTAATCCAACACAAAGCCCATGCCATGGATTAGACTCTGTGAATGTCCAGTATGTACCACAGATGGCTCCCAGCAGTCCTGAGGGCTCCATTTATAGATGAGAATATAGAAGCCAGAGCCAAAATAACTGGTGAATTCTGAGCTATAAACTCAGGTTTCTGGTCATTCCCAGACCAGTGTACCAGATTGTATATAAGTGTCTAGCTGTGCTTGAGGGCCTGGTGTAGCCCTGCACTTGGCCCCAGAGGTCCCTGTCAGGCAATGCCCACCCACCAGGCTTGTCTTGGCTAGAACTGTCTGGGGTTGCCCTCCTGAGCCTTCCCCGTGTGCTAGACATGACCCTAATACAGTCTGTTTATTACGTCCCATGAGCTAACATTGCTAACTTCTCTGGGAAATTACCCTGGAAGTCAGGAACTGGGAGTAGGACCAGAATCTAGAAACTAATATTCAATATTGACATAAAACAGGTATGTAGAGGCTTCCATGTACAGCTGTTGGGTTTTGATTACTTCCTCATGGATGCAGTGAACAATGAACCACAGATGAATAGTGCATAGGTTGCACCAAATACTGAGAAAGAGCTGAAGCACCAAAGAGCTGAAGCACCTCTCCTCCTAAAGAACCCTCTGGGGGCTGGAGAGATGCCTCAGCAGTTAAAGAGCACTTCTTGTTCCTACAGAAGACCCAGATTCACACTTACAGGATAGCACTAGAATGGCCTGAGCTTTATCAAGCTTTGCTGTATTCCTTGCAGAAATTTGTCTTCTCCAGTGAGAACAGAGTCCTGTCTCAACCCTTTGTGATTGTTTGTGTTGAACATCTATAGGAACATGCATGGGTGAGTGTAGAGAGATTGGATGTGTATATTTGAGAATGTATGATACTTTTGTCATAGCTACACTGCAAGGAAAAGTTCTGTATAAAATAGGATTTACAACTAAATTCAAGGAACTAGTCCAGTTGGGACTACTTTACCAAAAAAAAAAAAAAAAACAACAACAACAAAAAAAACTTTTATTTGCATCTGTTGTCTAATTGTCCCAAAGTACTTAAGTTCCTTTGAATCAAAGATCTAAACTTCTCAAGAGTGACTATTTAATTGTCTGTGCCTTGCATTTCCTCTGGAATACTGGAATATCTAAAATGGAATTGAGAAAAGAATGGAACGGAAGTGTTAGCCGCTTTTGCTGCAGTCTTATCTTGGAAGCCAGGTTGTGCTAACCTATCACCTTTTCTAGAAACCTGGCATTCTCAGGTCAGAACTATTAGGACATCACTCCCAGGACCCAAAGTTTTTTACATTTCCTGCTGTTTTCGGGAGGAGAGGTTAGCACAGGGCACTTAGAAGTGGCGGAGCTGAGGACAAATTCATGGCTCAATACCCCTGAAGGAATAGCCAGCCATTTGCAAGTAGGCAGGGATTGCCTTGTTTATTGACACCTATTGCTGATCACAAGGGTGGGCCTGTAGGTTTGTGTGTTGTGATCAGACCATCAGAACCAAATCTTCAGAAGCCTAGGTCTTAGAAGTGCTGTTGTTAGCTTGGTTGTTAACATAGAAAGGGAATCAGTTACTGTGATGGATGTGTCCTTTTGCCACACTGTAACACCAGGCTGTGTGGTGACTGAACCCTTGAAGTATATAGCTAGTGCAAATTTGGATCTGAAGTCCTAGTTTATTTGATTTTGATTAATGTGAGTTTGGACAGAACAGTCTGAACTGAAGACTCCCACTCCCCTTTTGGAGCCTGGGATTCAGTAAAGTAAGGGACAAAATGGAGAGAAACCTCCAAGGAAGGCCATAAGCAAGACATCACAGGCTGCTAGGCATTCCTCGGGTGGAGCTTCTGTTCTTGGCAGCCTAGAGAATTTTTGTCTAGTAATAAAGTGAAAGTCAAGTTACAATATTTAGATGTGTGACAAATGCTAGAGGCCTAACTGGAAGTACCCAGGTGACTCCTTGCCCAGAGAGGTATGGCTTCTGATCACTTTGGGAGTAGGGCCCTTCTTAGTCTCTGCCTTGTTTCTGCACCCTTTTATTCCTTTTTTCTTCTTAATATTTTTATTTTACATGTGTAGGTATTTTTCCTGCATGTATGTATGTGTACCGTGTGCATACAGTGCCTGTGGAGGCCAGAAGAGTGCCAGATCCCCTGGAACTGAAGTTTCATATAGTTGTAAACCACCATGTGGGTGCTGGGATCCAAACCTGGATCCTCTGGAAGAGCAGCAAGTGCTCTTAATGGCTGAACCATCTCTCCAGATTCAAAGATTTATTTATTATTTCAGTATATCTCTGTGTGTATGTACTTGTGAGAGTTTGTTCGTAAAGAGGTCAAAAGAAGGCAGGGTGATGGAGCTGGAGTTGGAGGCAATTGTAAGCCACCTAACATGGGTGCTGGAAACTGACGTTGGGTCCTCAGGAGGAATAGCAAGTACTCCTAATCATTGAGCCATTCTTTATTCTTTAGTAAACTGGAGTGTTGATTACATCTACCTTTGATGGCATTTGAGATTGGAAAGTCCCTTACACTAAGGTTTATAATGCAGACATTTGTTCAGCATAGACTGTGTGTGCAATGAGATTCCTAGGAACACAGATCATCACCTTAGAGCATTGTTCTCAACCTTGAGTTGCAACCCCTTTGGGGGTCACATATCAGTTATCCTAAATACCACATACTCACATTGCAATTCATAACAAATTACATAGCAAAATTACAGTTTTGAAGTAGCAATGAAATAATCTTATGGTTGGGGGTTACAACAGGAGGAACTGTATTAAAGGGCCGCAACATTAAGAACATTAAGAACATCTGTCTGCCTTAGAGAGAAAGCTTATCAATGGACTGGTCACTCTGTGAAGCCACAGAAGCTAATGGTAGGCCCTGCTGCTGCAGCAAGGAATGGAGAAAGATCACTTGAGAACCCTGATTTTATGGCCTTTTCTTCTGAGAAAACTGCTTCAATGGGAAAGAAAGGACATGGCTATCGAAGGAGAAAGGGTGCCCTCTAGTGGTCCTCCTTGTGTTTCCTGCCATTCTCAAATCTGCTTTATCCCTTAATGCATATTTACATGACTACCTAGGAGAGATCAAAGTTCCCAAAAAATGCTGCAAGGCTTTAGAAGCAATGTGAAACTGGAATGAATGTGCCTGGAGTCCAGGCAGACAGGCACCTTTGGTAAGAGGAAAATTTAAGACATACTGACCATACCCATGGGGCATTTCAAGAGAGTTCTCCAGAACTCTTGAGACTAGTTCCAACATCTGGGGAGGAGACCTTTCTAACTAAGGCCTTCACGTGGGAGCAGACTGTTTTCTCTCTTGGACCTGTGTGTCTTCTTAGGCATAATTGTCAGCTGAAGTTGGTTGGATTATGAGGCCCCTAGCCAGGCTGGGCATAGAGTCCTGGTTGGAAACACACTGAGCTGCAGTCACGGTATCTGATTCTGGCACAAATCCTGCCTTGGAGAAACAGCTGGGGCTCGAGTCCCCATCCAGGAACTTTTATCTGCCAATGTATTTTGAGAGTCAGTATTTTACAGGTGTTCACAATGTTCCATGCTCACATAAATACAAGAACATACTGGATAGGGCACTAACAACCAAAGAAACGTCCATCCAAATCTAGCTTGATGAATCAGTGAATTTGATGCTGTTCCTAACAGGTGTAAGGGGAACTGCCTCACTGAGAAGCACACCCTAGAATAGGTGACAATTCATAATAGCTGCATTTCTGGAGTTTTCTGTGCAGCTTTTAGATGGCTCCATAAAAAAAGTCTTCTCCAGCGATTATTTGCTGCTTTTAAAACTGAGGGTGCAGGAGTAGGGGGATGGGACTTGTGAATCTTGTACCTTCCTCCCTCCCTCCGTCCCTCCCTCCTTCCTTTTTTCTTTTGAGATAGGGTCTATCTATGTAGATGTATTAGAATACTTTGTGGACTAGGCTGGCCTGAAACTCATAGAGGTTCACTTGCCTTGGCCTCCCAAGTGCTAAAGACATGTGCCACCATGCCAGGCAAACTGAGTTCTATAATTTGTATGCACTTTTGTCTTTAGCTTACTGAGTCCCAAGAGCTCTCGCCCCCATCCAAAAGAGAATGTTTTAATGTAGAAGAAACAGCTAGACAACTGCCTAAATCACTGACTTTCTAAGAGAGAGATTATTCTATGTGACACTTGCTCCCCGTGTATTGGTGGTCCACAGAGCAGACTTTGGAAGCTGGAACAGCCACAGTGCCAAGGCAGCTCCTTCTGTACTCCTGATGGTGCATTAGGAAGGAAAGAAGGGATAGGTATTCACTCTGCCCTCTTTGTCTATGGCTGTGCCCCATCCCTGCCTAGACCTATTACACCGACTGCACTGCAGCCAGGTATCTGATTCTAGAACCGACTTTGCAAGGGCTCTAGTTCTTGTGCCCCGGGGCCAGTACTAAGAAGGAAGGAAGAAATGGTGCTGGTATCATGCCTGCCTCCCCTATGCATAGAGAAGGGCTTGCTGATGCGGGAGGGGGGAGTGACTCTTTAGTGTTTATACTCACCTCCTTGCAGGCAATCTCTTGCAGCCCTGTTGTCTTCCCCCTGCTGTCTCCACTGAAGTCCTTACATGACTCCATTATAGACCTCAGGCTATATGACTTTGTGTGCTAATAGCTAATGGCCTTCTCCTTCGTGATGTTTCAGGGACACCACATCAAACTCACTAACTCCTGAAGACACTGAAGACATGCCAATGGGGCAGGATGCTGAAATATGCTTGCTGAAGTCAGGAGAGCTGATGTAAGTGGACCCCTTGTGCCAGTGGAGGGGGGGTCTCAAGAGAAGGGAGTACGGAGGAGGGACACTGGTCCTACCATAGAATAGGAGCTGGCGCCACCTGGTGCTCTATTTTGCCACTAGTGGAATGATGCAGATCTTTAAGGGCAACATGGCCTTTCTGGGTCTAGATGTGTGTGATTCAAAGGCCCAGATGCCAGTCAGTCATAACCAAAGGACAGACATGCAGCCAAATGGGTAATGATTAAAGACACAGGCACATACAGGAGTAAGTAAAGCAAAAGCGGGCTTTATTGAAAAAAAGTTAGCAAAAAGTGAGAAAATTTAAAGAAAGTAGGAATAGTTTCTAAGAAAGAAAAAAAAATTGGACTGTTTTCTGGGACAGGACCTGTAAGCAGAGAACTACGACAAAGACTGAGGTGATTTCTATTGACATGGGCTAATTCTCTGAGCTTATCAGAGGCCAAGCCAATTGAAGAATCCCATACTCTGCATATTTTCCTCACCCAACTGAGGAGATAATTGTGTGCTCTTCAAGTGCTGCTCAGACAGGGGACTAATCACATTTAGAAGTTTCCTGTTCATCTCCGACTAGCTTTGTTAGCTGTTGGTCCTGGCTGTCTGCTGGTTCCTAGTCCTCTAGTTGTTGATTTTACAGGTGTTGCTGATCTCAGAACTTGGTGGAGTCTGATAGAAGTTCATTAAACTCTTCTCTTTGTTCTTACTTGTGTTTGGCCAGTTTGTAGGGCTTGTTTCATTTTGCTAGGTTTTTTTTAGGCAGTGCTTAGAATTGAACTCAGAGTTTCGTGCATAATAGACAGGTTCTTTACCACTGAGGTACATCTCAGCCCCACCTGCTTGTGGTACACTTGTTTGTGGAGAAGTAACCCTGAAGATTTTGGAGCTGAGGGGAGGCCTTTTTTCATGGTTGAAGAACTGAGCCAAGGTATTCAGTTCCATTTGGATGCCTTGTTGCCATAATCCTGGGTTAAACTTGCTGCCTATGAGTGACTGAGAAAAAAGGAAATCTACTCATCTGGTCAGCACCTGGGATTAGTGGCAGCAAGGATTCCCACCCAGTCAAGTTCATCCTCTGATGTCATCTCATGAAGTACTTGTGGCTCAGCCTCAGACTGTCACAGCACTGTCCCCCTGCAAAGTGGATCCAAGGATGCTTGCTTATAGGAAGAGGTCAGAGGCCTCCCCTCAGCTCTACAGTCTTCAGTGTTATCACAATGGCCATGTGAGGAAAACATGGTTGTTCCCATTGTACAGATTTGGAAAACAAAACTCAAGACAACTGTGAAATCTGACCCTGGTTTGCTCAGGTTTGACTTTTCAACCCCTCCACCCCCTCTCACATCTTCAGAGAGACTGTGGGAGATGTGTCTAATTGGGTGAAAGGAGAAAGCAGAACATAAAGGGAAAAAGACAGTGGCTGAACTATGGACCAGTCTCACAGGTGTGATAGGACTAAATCATCCCAATCAAATCCTACCCATAAGAGACTCAGAGCAAATCAGGCTGTCCCCATAGTTTCCCTGGGCTTTCAACTCCATGTGGGCAAGGACTTCCTGTATCTTTCACAGCTGTGACTCACGGTCAACAAGTATGTGGTAAGCACTCAAACCAAAGCTTTTGTCTGAGCTGAGCATCTCATAAATAAGTTATTCTGGGGTGCCCATGCTTAACCTACCAACAATCTCAAATCTCCAGTTACCTCAAAACTTCAGACAATCTACTGAACCAGGTTTCTCTTTGCATTTTTATTTTAGGATCAAATTGCCCCTCACAGTGGAGGAGATCACCAGCTTTGGGGAGGGTAACAGGGAGCTGTTTGTGAGGTCCAGTACCTACAGCATGATCCCCATCACCGTAGCCGAGCCTGGCCTCACTATCAGTTGGGTCTTCTCCTCTGACCCCAAGAGCATCTCCTTCAGTGTGGTCTTCCAAGAGACAGAAGACACACCTCTCGACCAGTGCAAGGTAGGTCAGGCTCCCTACCAGGGTTCTTAACACACTCCAGGTGCCTAAGCAGAGCTTCCCCAGAGCAGGCAAAGCACCTAAGACTTGATTACCTTGGGGAAACAAGACCCAGAAGTCAAGTTCAGGAGAACTGTCTTCACATGGCTAAAGGTTACTTCTGTGCCTCACATGTTCCATTTGGCTTTGGGACAGAGTTGTAGGTAAATCTCAGAGACATGCAAGAGATGAGATTCTCACAGAGCTCTGCAGAGCAGAATGGGATACCTTGGGAGGTATGGGCTCCATCTCCAGTTATTCCATTTGAATGTTCATATGTCACCTAAAAGACAACAGCAAAGATGGCCCCGGGTATGACTTGGGCAGTTGAGCTTTATACTATCCAAGCTATTCTAGATGAAAAATGTTGGCAGTGCAGAACTGCAGTTCTCTACCATGCAGCTGTACACTAGAAACACAGGAAGAGACTTTAAACCCAAATCCTTAGGCCAAAGCCCAGGCCACTGAATCAGGATATCCGGAATACAATGCAGACAACCCTCAGCAACTCCACTGAGAAGCCCAAATTGAGTAGTTTAGAGCCATAGAAGGATGGGTAGAATACAAGGGCTGACTAAAGCTCGTAGAGTGCGAATTCACTGTAGGGTGAGAAAAGAGGCTTCCCATGCCCAACATCTGAATTCCCATGTTCGTAAGGCAGAGGGGAATGATGACGTGTAGATATGTGAATTGTATTCGAATTCTGAGAGAAAGGAATGGTTAAAAACCTGTCAGACACATTAGGTTGGAACAAAAAGTGGCTTTTAGGCAGTTAATGTCCTAGGTAGTCAGCTGGCAGAGGCTTTTTTGCTGTACCTGGATATAAATCAATCATGGGTATTCAAGAGGCTGTTTGGTGCTTATTTTCAGCAACTTTCATTTCTCTATGTTTAGCACCAGTAGGCCAGACGAAGTATCAGCAGTTGAAATCCTTTACTGTCAGAGTCCTCCTGCAAAGCCTCAGGTACTAGGCTCTTAGCTCTGTAAGCATCTCTGAGCTATGGGTTTCTCCCTTGCTCTGTAATCTACCCACCAATCCTCAGGACAGATGGAGCTTAGGGACCTGGTTCAGCCAGCCTTGTCTGAGACTTACAGGGTGTCCTTCCTGGATTTAATGACCACCCCTGTCTTTTCCCACAGTGAACATGGGGCAGGGGGGTGGGAGGAGAGACAGAAAAAACCCGTGTCTGAGATATTTAGCTGTCCCTCTGCCCTTCCAGACCAAGGTCACCAGTCGGCTATAAAGGATGCTATTTTCTCTGCCTGTGGTCCCCTGAAAAGTCATGAACCTAGACAGCCTGTTTCTAGGTCCAAATCTTTAGTACCTATTCAGGGAACTTCTCACATATACTTGACCAGCCAACAGATTGTTACATACATGTCTCATAACAACACATAGGATCCTTGCTGGATCCTAAGACAACTAATAGTTGAGCTCTTGCTGTATCCCACATTCTATAGAGTCTACTGGGGACAAAAAGATATAGGATGATACCCAAGCCTGTCCTTGAAGCATTCTAAATACAAACAGAGAGAGAGACCTGAGAAAATAAACACCTATGAATACCGCTAGAAATCACAATATGGGTAGGTAGGCATTATAGGTACAACTGCAAAGGGACTCCTATGCCTACAGTGAAGGCCACACTGAGTGAGACCTTGTCATTGCTGGGTAAGAGGGGTAGATAAAAACAGTCACTTCTAGCCGGGTGGTGGTGGCACATGACTTTAATCCCAGCACTTGGGAGACAGAGGCAGGCAGATCTATGTGAGTTCAAGGCCAGCCTGGTCTACAGAGTGAGTGCCAGGACAGGGTCCAAAACTACACAGAGAAACCCTGTCTCAAACACACACACACACACACACACACACACACAAAAGCCCAGTCACTTCTGATGATGTCATTTGCTATATTAGGAGTTCAAAGTGGTCTATAGAGCTGCTGGTCTATATAACCCTTTATTTGTAGGCTTTGCTAAGTGGACAGTATAAGGCACAGGGGGAGACATGCCCCTCTAAGATGGAAGAGAGAAGGAAAGAAACAATTAGAATACTGGTCATCTATCTCTTCCTGTGACATCTTCAGTTTTGTTTTGTTTCATTTTATTTATTATTGGGGGGGTGGGTGCATTAATGGCATGTACATGGAGACCAGAGGATACCTATATAAAGTCAGTCCCCTCCTTTGACCTTTTTACATGGTTTCCAAATTGTCAGACATGCAAGACAAGCTCTTCTACCTACTGAGCCATTTTGCTAGCACATGTAACTTCAGTTTTAAGTTTAGGCCTATGCTTTAGCTGATAATTAGGTAGAAGACCTTGCCCCTGATGAAGATGAGGTTGACCATCCAAGGACTAGCCCTGGTTCATACCCTGTATGCCCAGATTTGCCCTTAGGAGATAAATTTGTAATTCTGAGAGAATAAACAGGAAGCTAAGAACCTGACTTAGAAAAACCACATGGACCATCCAGGACCCATCCAAAAGAAGGACCTGTGGTGATGCCCTGTGAGAGGCCATGGGTGGATCCAGGGCTGTCTTTCCTGAAGAAGATGAGCCCAGGAGCTTCACAGAGCCTGAATGTCATCATCTGGAAAGAAGACTCGGTGTCCTAAGGATAGGACTAGGGACCTGCATGAGGCAACTGGTTAAATGGACATTTGTAATGTCCTCCTAAAAGCATGGAAGTTCCCCCAAGTGATGGAACAGCTTGGCACTAGTGTGGTCAGGGATGCTGGGGACTGGTTCATGATTCTGGAAGAAATACATACCCACCATCTCCCCACACTGAGTGGGATGGGTGACACCCCAACCCTGCTGGGGCTAAGTTTTAGTCTCAGCCCTATATAGCTATGACCCCATTAAGCTTACCTAGAGGACTCACAGGCCTTCAGCTTCTGTGATACCTTCTTTTTGTTCTTCCACAGGTCCTCATTCCCACCACCCGATGCAATTCCCACAAGGAGAGTATCCGGGGCCAGCTAAAGGTTCGAACCCCTGGCATCTACTTGCTTATATTTGACAACACCTTTTCCAGGTAGGTACCTTAGTCTTAGTTAATCATGGCATTGCATGGGTCCATATGTGTCCATGCATCATCATTGCTCCTATTCTCTAGCACTGAGGCAGACACTCAGAATCAGGACTTGGTTGTCAAATTTTTGTTAGCAATTCTATTATTTAGACTTCTTTGCTGTTTTCATCATTCATGGTAGATTTTATAAAGTGTGTCTGTCAGTTACTTTCCTGTTGCTGGGATAAAATACCATGATTAAAGGCAACTAAAGGAAGAAGGAGTTTAATTGGACTTTTAGTTTCAGAGGAAGAGTTCATAATGGCAGCAGGCAGCCAGGGCAGGAAGTTGACAAATCACATCTTTATTCACAGGCAGGGAACAGAGAGCAAACTAGAAGTATAGGTTAAGGCTATAAATTCCCAAAGCTCACCCCCAGTGACAGACTTCTTTCAGCAAAGCTTCACCTCCTGGAGTTCTGCAACCTCCCTAAACATCACCACCAAACTGGGACCAAGTATGTGTTCAAATGTGTGAGCTTATGGGGTCCTTTCTCATTCAAACTGCAGCAGTAGGCCAACACTTACTTATAGGGTCTTACCATATAGTAACCACTGAACTCTGCCATGCAGCTTCCTCCTTTTCTATAGGGCTAAGGGTAGAATAGTGACACTCCGGGTCATTTGACTAATTGGGGAGCCAGACTGGAACCAGGCACCCTTCTCCAGGCTAGACTCACCCCAGTTGTGCTCACCTCTCTCAGGTTGATTCCCACTGCCAGGCCATGAAAGGACCTTGAGAAATCCAGAGGAAAGGCCAAGAGTGTGTGAGTGAAAAAGAAAGAAATGAGACAAAAAAGGACAAAACCTCTAGGTTATGTGTAGTTGGGTTTGTTGTTGTTGTTTTGTTCTTTTATTCTTTGGGGGCCTGCCACCCAGCTCCCAAATAAATACCAAGAGACTTATTTTTACTTATGAATGCCCAGCCATAGCTTGGCTTGTTTCTAGATACCTTTTTTAATTTAAATTAATCCCATTTATCTTTTACTATGTTTTTTTTTTTGCATCTGGACTTTTTACCTTTTTTTATTCTATATAACTTTCTTTCCTTCTTACTCTTTGTTTGGCTGTATAGCTGGGTGGCTGTGTAGCCCCTGGCATCTTCCTCTCCTTCTTTTCTCACTCCCCCCTCTTCTCTTCTTCTATTTATTCTCTCTGCATGCCAGCTCCACCTATTTCTCTCTCCTGCCTAGTTATTGGCCATTCAGCTGTTTACTGGACCAATCAAGTGTTTTAGGCAGGCAAAGTAACACTGCTTTACAGAGTTAAACAAATGCAACATAAGAGAATGCAATACATCTTTGCATAGCTAAATATTCCACAGCATAAGTGAATGTAACACATTTTAAACTAATATTCCACAACAATCATGTTGTATGTCTCAGGAGCAGCCTTGCCCTCTTGAGCGCCCCAGTTACTTCAGGCAGTACTGAAGGTCAGCTGAGGGCTCAAGGGGGTCTGATCGCAGGAGTAATCGGCATGAGAATATAAAAAAATAATGGTGAGCAGGTAGCTAGAAAAGGAACAGGACAGAACAGGTGTGCAGACAGCATCTGTCATGTGCACAGGTCGATACATCTATCCCTAGGGAAGACTTCTGGCTTCCAGATAGCTTCTTCACTGGGGCTCTTTCTTGAAATAGACCTGCCTTAGATATGACTATCTCCTTTCATCACAGCCATTTGGCTTTTAGCAGAGTAATTTCGGAGGATACTCTAGGCAAAGGTGTTACCATACCCTACCTCATCAGCTCCTTAGGCCTAGGGACAGGGTTATCTACCACCCAAGAGGCTAGAACCTTCCCACTTGTCCTGTGTTTCCCTGGGTAATAGAACTCTGCCTCAATCTGTAGGACTTTAGAGTATGCTCAGCCTTTCCAGGGAGTTCTCTGTGGAGTCCCCATCTGGGTGAGCAGCAATAGGGGGCAGAGTTGGAAGAGGGTCAGTGTCTGTGTAGCCCAGCCTTGTTCTTCTGGCTGCAGCTCTACTTAACCATTTGTTTTTCTGTAATGACCCCAAGAAGTATCAGTGCCTCACTGAGCCTGGCTGTGGGTCCAGAGAGGTGTGATAAGGGCTGAATGCAACCTCTAGCAGGCTCCTGGAAAACCTGGGTTAGTGTAATGCTCTGGAGAGTAATCTCTGTCTATGGCACAAATGTCCAGTGGGTGTGACATACATTCTGGTTTCTACAATGACCTCCTGTGTCACCTAATCCATCTCCCCATGCAATGCTGACCACTGGCACGTCATAGCACAGAGTGAGGACAAAGACTTACAGACCCACTTTTCACTAGGAAGCCATGATGACAGTACTTGAACCTTCTGAAGGGAGAGAACTTTACTAGACTAGACAGGCTGAAGATGGGGATAGGGAACCAAGGAACACTAAAATGGTCCATGAGTTGCCCAGTTCCCAAAAGCTGTTTCTATGGAGACTGGCTTTACACCCAGCCAAGTCCAAGCAGTGACATGCAGCCACAACAGCAGCTGCCTCCCTTGGTCTTCACTAAAAGTAACTCCTTCATTTTCCATTTTTGTTTCTTCAGATTTATCTCCAAAAAAGTGTTTTACCACCTGACTGTTGACCGGCCTGTGATCTACGATGGAAGCGATTTCCCATAGCATCAGTAACTGAACTTTTGATAGCTCATCATCATCCAAGGAAACACTACTACTCCTCACTCATCTCATTAAACACATATACCCATACTCAGGACCAGATATGAGACTCACCTGTCTTCTTACCCAAAGGGATACCTTGCCAAATGTTTATACTCTAGGGACACCATTTGCCTCACCTGAGGTCACAATTGGTAACAGTCTGCTGTGCTATTATTCAAGCCAAGATTCACTCCTTGGGTAATTCCAGGAGAAGAAGACCATAGGGCATCATGAGAGAGATGCCCCTATCCCTTAGTTTATCCATAAGTAGGGGCTGCTTCTTCCACTCAGCAATTTTGGGGAGGCCTGAGCTGTGCTGTCCTTCTGAGCCTTTGTCTCTTGAGGGCCTTTGTTCATCCTGGCCGCTCAGCAGCTCTAAGTACACACACGCACACGCACGCACGCATGTGTACACACATGTATGCATGCATGCACGCACACACACTCACAAACCAACCAGAGGTCTAGGAAAGGACAGCCACTTCCTGTAGGCTTCAGCTCTGCATACAGATGACAGGAGTAGAAATACAGGCCAAGTTCCCTACGGTGACCTCAGGTTGGCCTCAGAGCTCATGTGTCAGTTCCTAACCCATCTTTGTTTATAAACACCAGAATTTCTGCCTCACCCGTAGGCAGTTTATTAGTGAGTAGAGCCAGTTAAGAACCACTTTCAATACCTGGAAACTTTCTAAAAGTCTTTGGTAATGTGAGAAGCAACTAACAGAAGAGCAGGGCATAACTTCCTTTTGGCCTCCGTTTGCCAGTCACTCCCTCTCCATTTGCCTACGTCCTGCTCATCAGCTCATATCTGATACTGCAGGCAGCTTACTGTTTCCTTTCTAGGACAAATAGTTTAGATAGCTTCCTGTCACCAATTTAACTTTGTTGGCGACTTTTTTTTAATGTGAAGCCAGTATGTGCAGTTGAGTCTTTGAAGACTGATGTGGCTCCCTATAGGTCTGTATGTGGCCTGAGATTGCTGAAGACCAAATCATCTTACCTTTGAACCTTCTACCCTCTTGCAAATGGAATACTGAAGCCCCTAGTTCATTAGGCCAACAATATCCAGTACCAGCTAGGATCTCATTTTTATTACTTGACTTTTCCAGAATATGTTGGAGACACTGGCCAAGCTTATGGCCTTCTGCTGGCATCACTGTCACCATCTACATCAAGAGCCACCACTCACTGAGTTGCTGGAAGGGGCCTGAATTCTTCCATCTGAGTTCATCCTGAACCTCTGTCACTTACCAGGAGGCCCATGTGGCTCTTATGAAGCCAACTCAGAACTGAGGTGAGAGGCTTCAGTGCTGACTGCCTAGTGCTTTGGTAGGCTCTTACCAACTCTTTGTCTTTGATGGTATATTTATTTTTGTGCTGTATTAAATATCAGTTCACTGGCCATGCTGCAGTTCATGCTCCTGAGCACTAGGCTACTAGAGAGCATTTAGCCCTGTGTAAGTGTGCCTTTCACGTGTAGCTTTATTATTTTAAGTAGTTCCCAATTTTAATGAGGTTTAGTCATTAGAGTAACTTTTTCAAAAATGCAAATGACAATTGAGGAATCACTGAGGAAGATGGTGGCCCAGTTGGACTTAATTACACTAAAAATCGTAAGGAGACATCCTTGAGATCCTGGGTCATTCTTTTTCTGGAGGGCAGCTCCTCCTCTAATGACTCAGCTCCCTCATAGCAGCCATAGTAGTGTTGTCAGCTGCCTGTTTTCCAGTGCCACTGAAGCCTCTACTAGACTTCACCCAAGAAATAAACCAGCCACGCATACAGGGGGAAGCATGTCTGACACGGAGTGACCCTCCATGTCCCAGTGGACTTGGAGAGCATTGCTGAGATAAGCACCCTGGATTCCAGCTAGCCCTGAACCAAGAAGGCAAAGGGATTCTCAAGCAAGCAGAAATCTAGAACTGAAAATTTCCATATGGTTTGGGAAGTAGAAATGAAGAGCCATATATTATTAAAGAAGATGTTGTTTCTGAACAGCTTCAGTTGTCCCCCAGGTATCAAGCCACTCCTGACTCCAAAAGAAATCTTTCAGATATTGTTTGATGTTCATGGGGTTTTGTTTTTAAACTCAGACTCAGTGGTTCTACCTGTGAGAATTCTTTATACTGAGAAAACATTCTTGGCTCAGAGGTTTTGGAAAAGGAGGCAGAGAGGAGCCATCTTTGGTGCTCAGAACCAGGGAATGCAACACAAAGACCATCGAGTGCTGCTCATATTTACGAAAGCAAACACTACTTGATAGAATCTTAGCACAATTTCCTCATCTGCTTAATTTCTTCCAACAAAACAGGAAAGCTAATTCAAAATTTCCTTTTCCCTCTCAAGCACTTTTGAAATTTCCAGAGACCTCTCTGATCAGGGGGTGTTTTTAGAGCCTTTTGATGTGTGTTTAATCTAGATGGCCTGCTTTTAGTGACTACAGTGACACTGAGCCTCTGTGGGGAGGAGTGCACTTTAATTCTTTAATCCTCACCTTGCGTGGCCTTATGAGATACTGGGTCAGGAAACCCATTTCATTCTTATCTGCCAAAGAGATACTCAGAAGCACATCAAACACCAGCACTTCATCTACACAAAAGGATGAGACTTTGGTATCACTGAATATACTCCTTTAACAGTGTCTGCTATGCCATTTGGAAATGTTTTTTAACCTCAGGTTTAAATAAAGCAAACACTATGGATTTGGAGTAACATTGTCTTTCATTCCTCTGACAAGAATAAATCATAAAATGAGTGACAGAACTGAATGACGACCCAGCAGGAAGCAGCACATTCCCCAAGGGCCCTGCAGAAGAGAGTGTTACTTAAGTAGCAGATGTGTTCTGGCATTTGATACTCAAGCCTGCAGTTCCTTCCACCTGCCCTCCTCTGCCATTCATATGGCTCCAGCTCCTCTCTAATGGCATCAGAGTGCTCAAAGAGCAAACTTTAACCTGCCAAATGAAGTGAAAAGGGTCCTGGATACCTCTAAGCTCACTGTCAGTAAGCATGCGGCACTGATGCCTTGCAGAGAAAAAACAGCACTCCCACCAGTGTGTGTGCTCAGCAGCAAGGAGGCTAGAGACGTGATGAGAGAGTGAGAGCTGCTCATCCTGCACTGTTCCAGAACTGGTGCTCAGTACCTTAACCCTCGAGATGACCAGAGACCCTATCCTTTGAGTACATGCCTCAGTGAACACCCCCAAGCATGTTCCCCTCCCCTAGATTTCCTCATGGTTGCTGCTTCTGTAATTCACATTTTCTGTTACTCTGTGGTTCTCCCTTGAAGGCAAGGAACCACATCTGTCACACTCATCTTTATTATCTCCCACCATATGAAGCAATAAGCTCAAAAAGAGGGTGCAAAAAAAAAAACAACAAAAAAAAAACACTGCACCAATGAAGATCCTAGTCAGTCTAAGGACTAACCTTAGGTTAGCAAAGGGGTTTTCAACAATCACACTGGGCAACCATCTCTGCTGAACACAACTCTTGAAGAAAGGCTGTGGGCAGAGTTGTGGGATGAATGAGCATGGCGTTGTCACTTTGTTGTTGAAGGGTGTGTGTGTGGGGTGGTCTCACTGTGTAACCAAGGTTGGCCTCAAACTCCCAAATGCTGGGCTGTAGTTGTATACCACCATGCTTGACTTCGCTGAAGACTCTTAGCACTGGCGATGCCTTCAGATCACACCTCTAGTTGTAGTGACTGGGTGTAGTGGATCTAAGTGCCTCAAATGAAACAGCAGAGTGATTTCTTGACTAATACAGCAGTGACTTGGACTCTGGGGTGGGGACTCGAACATGGACTGCCCAAGACACCCATGTTATATCTGGGGTGTTCAGGATGGAATGATCGTCCCACCCATGTATGGCTGAGTAACTGCCGTAGCCCCAGTCTTGCCTATTAAATTATTCAGTAGTTGTCTTTCTGTGCTTGGTTCTTTTCTGTTGTCACAGTGTCCTCCAGATGCATCCAAGTTACCATAACTTGTTGGAGCTCACTCTTTATTTCATTATGTAAATTTACCACACTTTCTGTTGAATGTGTACCTTAGTGATTATGAACCCTGCTTCAATAAACACAGAAGGGAAGATAACTCTTTCAAGTGGTAATTTCAACTCCTTTGTATATATATCTAGTTAGGCCATTAGAGCTAAAATGTTAATCAGCATATGGGACTAAAAAGATGATTCCATGGTCAAAAGGACTTACTGCTCTTCCAGAGGACACAGGTTTGATTCCCAACACCAAAATGATGGTCACAACTATCTACAAACCTAACTCCAGAGAATCTGATGTCCTCTTCTGACCCCCATGAACATCATAGTCACACAGAGAGCACCTACATACTTGCAGATAATCACATCCTTAAATACATTTTTATATTTTTTCTTAAATCAATGTAAAAATCAGTATTTCTGTGTGTAGTGGCGTATGCCTTTAATCCCTTTACTCTGGAGGCAGAGGCAGAGGCAGAGGCAGGTAGGTCTCCATAAATTTAAGGCCAGCTAGGACTACATCATGAGAACGTGTCTTTTAAAAAATTAGTATTTTATATGAAAATAATGAATTACCTGAAAAAAAATCAAGAAAGTATTTTTACACTAATTACCCAACAAAAGAGACTAGTAATAAAAGTTAACAAAACAGATAAAAGCTCTCACAAGGGCTGGAGAGATGGGTCAGAGGTTAAGAGCACTGGCTGCCTGCTCTTCCAGAGATCCTGAGTTCAATTCCCAGCAACTACATGGTGGCTCACAACCATCTGTAATAAGCTCTGGTGCCCCCTCCTGGCCTGCAGGCATACATGCAGGCAAAACACTTACGTAATAAATAATTTTTTTAAAAAAAGCTCTCACAATAAAAAAATATTAATGAAAGAAATTGAAGAGAGCACAAGTAAATGAGCATGGCATGTTCCTAAACTGGAAGGATGACTATTATTGAAATGTTGATGCTACCCAAAGTAAACAGTAGTGTTAATGTGATTCCCATCCCAGTGTCAGTGGCTCCTTAGAAACAGAAAGGGGTCTAAATGTATATGGAACTGCAAAAGAGTGCATGCATCCCCAGCAGATACATATCCACAAGATACAGAACAAAGCTGGTGTCATCATACTATCCAAAGCCCACTCCACGCCAGGCCCGCTGTGCCTGTCTGCAGACCCCGCTGCTTAGGAAGCTGGCTGAAGGATCACTTGCGTCCAGGAGTTTGGGAACAACTTAAACATAGCAAGACATCCTCTCCTGACCAAAACACAACCAAAAGTACAAGAAATAGTAACCAACCAGCATGGTACTAATGAAAAACATATAGATGCAATGGTACAGAGTAGACACCCTAGAAATACAAACCACTGCATTTACAGCCAAATGGTTTTCAACAAAATTTGTTCTGAACTGTAAACTGTGTATACAAATTGAGGAAAGGACAGTTCTTCAATAAATAGTTCTGGGAAACCTGGATGGTGGCCTGTGGGAGAAGGGAAACTTCTGCTGCCTGGGGGACCAGCCTTCAGCAATGCTGGGCTCATAGGGAATCCACAGAGTCTGGTACTGCAACTTTTTTTTTTTTTTCCTTTTAATCTGAGAGGGTAAGGGAAAAAGACACATGCACTCTCTTGATGGTTTCCTTTAGACCTTTTTGTTATTCTTCTTTTGCATTCTCTATTCTTTATTTTTCTGGTGATTTCTTTCTCTCATTTTTAATGTTTTCCTTCTAACTCTTATCTTTTTTCTTTCCCTTACAGCTCTTACAACCCAGCAAAACCTTTTTTAAAAAAAAAGACAGTATGAAGCTGGGGTAGATGTAGAGGTGGGAATGGATCCGGGAGGAGCTGGAGGGGTGGAGATGTTGTGATCAAAATAAGTTGTATGAAAATCCCAAAGAATTTTTTTTTAAAAAAATCAGGAAACATGACCATAATGTTGTGTTGCTTAACCCACTTTCCATAAGAGGTTCTTCCCTTTGACTAGACTGACCCTCCCATTCAAGCCTCAGGTGACCACAGCCCCAGCCTTTGACTGTAGCTGCATGAGAGACCCCAAGCTAGATCCATGCAAGTGAGTCCTTTCCAGATCCCTTACCTACAAAACACTGAGCAAAGGAAAGGGGCTGTCGTTTATGCTACTAAATTAAATGCAACAGTAATGAAGACTCCTAGCATAGTTTTTTCTACATGTTCTTTCCACAGCCTCATGTCTCATTTGTATACACCTTAACCAACCACAATCTTCTTTGACTATGCATCAGTGCAGTTGGTTTGATTGCATTAATAATAAACTCTGAGTCACCAGTGTTTGGTGCATTAAGGAAAGAAATCAAAGCACTTCCCCTTGGTGTTATTTAACCAAGAGCAGGCTCAAATTTGAATTCTCTACTTTGTTCTATCTTTGTCTTCCCTCCTGTCTCTGTTATATAAGTCTGAATCTGTGCCTACCATCTCCCTCTGTGTGTGTGTGTGTGTGTGTGTGTGTGTGTGTGTGTTAATGTGTGTGTTGTGTCTGTCCCCAATAAAGGATTTTGCTCTGTGTTTATTGAACAGCAACACAGAAAGCACCATCTAGGGAAGTAATGAAGAATACAGAAAATTTTAACAGTTTTATAAGGGATTAATCATAGACTCCCAACTGACCCAGCAAACATCATTGTTTAACCATCCATATGTTTGAGAATTTATGGTGAATATTCATTTAATAAGGTTTCTTTCAACCTCTATTTTTGTTGTTTTCAGGAAATGATTATTATTGCAAGCATGCAAACATACATGCATTACTCAGGTGAGGGGCATAGACGAATACATGATTTGAGATTATAGCTCTGCATTATATTGTAAAACTTGGTTACATAGGCAATCCAAAACAAGTGAAGGTTTACCACAACAGTCTTACTCTTTACAATTACTGTCTGATATTTAATTGCTCACAATTATATTAAGAAAGGGCAAAACAAAAGGCAAGTGATGAACATTTTAAAATATACATTATAAAGCACTTTTCCAGGATATGCAGTGATTTTTTTCCAATGTGAGAAATTCGACAGTTAAAAACATAGGTGGAAAGTGAATTATGTTACATATTTTTCTTAATAACTCAAAAGTTGAAATTTTGTAAGCTGTTGGCACTACAGAGTAAGTAAAGGGGAGGTAGCAGGGAGGCAGACACCCTTTTTGAAGCCTCAGAAGGAAAGGACATGTCGCTGACGGTGAGAAGATGAGTGAACCTGCAGCCTCTCCCCTGAAGAAGACTCAACGGAGCTCATGCTAGGTCCCCACCATCCAAATATATGGTCAGGGTTAGTCTGTGAGAGTCACTTTACCACACAAAGGAACAGGCTAGATCCCTTCCTAGATCGAGCCTTCAGCTAGGTTTGGGCATGGCATCTCCAGCCAGACACAGAAGTGGGCTGGGAGCAACAGACTCCAGTTGATGTGCTGTACATGGGCTGACCAACCCTTCTTACAAATGGCTCCAAAGGAAAATGGTTGTCCTTGGCCCAGATGAGACCAAGGATATCAAAAGGGCATTCAATCTCAGATTGTTTGGGTGTATACTAGATTTAAAAATCTATAAGTAATGAGATGTACGAAGTCTTCCCATTAGTGGGACTAAAGAGAAAAAGTCCCAAGGTGGGAAATGTCACTAAGCGGCCAGTGCTCTGTCACCTCTGGAGAATAGTAGCCTCAGATCTGAAGTAGCAGAAACGTGGACACTGAAGAGACTCAACGCCTCCAGAACCCACCTGCACTGATGGTTAGCATGTGCATGGCTGGGGCGTCCCCACCGCTGCTCAAGTATCCTCCTCAGAATTGCAGTTACTGCAACCAAAAACCAGCTGGTGTCCTTCTGGTGTGGTCAGTTTTGAAAACTTTGGCATATCCTGACTATCATGACAAAGCTGTTTAGGCTCATCCTAGTTTGTTTATTTTGTTTTGCTTTTTCTCATTTCCTTTTTGTTTGCTTTCTCTTTAGTCTTATCAGCGGGGAGACTATATTGTGTCTATAGATCTCATTATTTCCAAAAGAATCATCTGCCTCAGTGAGAACTTCTTTCAGTGGGAGAGGGCCCCTGAAGTTGTCTCCAGTAACATGGAAGAAAGCTTCAAGCTACCTTCTCTCCTTGTGAATGAAACCCACTGGGCCTGGCTAATGCATCCCAAATTCTTCAGGGTCTTCATGAGATCCCTGCGGAATCTCTCACCCACAAAAACATAGAGAACTGGATTCAGGCAACTGTGGAAGAATGCAATGGTCTGAGTGACCTGGAAGCAGATGTCAATATTGGTGGAAATAGCACAGTTGGAGATAAACATGGTGTAGGCATCAACAGCCTGCACTATAAGAATGCAGTTGTAGGGGAACTGAGACATAATGAAGACAGTAAGGACAGTGATGGTCACCTTTAGGGCTTTATGCTTGGAGGACTTCTTGGCCTGCACCAGGGTATGAATGATGATGGTGTAGCAGAAGGCCATGACCATGAATGGGAGGAAAAACCCCAAGGTGACCTTCAGGATCAAGACAGCTGATTTCAGCTTGGCATTCTTATCCTTAGGGTAGACCATGGTACAGATGGCCATGTCAGATTCCCCACTGATCTGGCTGTACAGGATTTCTGGGGTACAGAGCACAGCTGCCATCACCCAGATGATAATGCAAACCATCTTGCTGTACAGCAGCCTTTTCTGCCTCCAGATCTGAGCCTTCATAGCCTGTACAATGGCAATGTATCTGTCCACACTGATACACATGATGAGCAGCACACAGCTGTAGAAGTTCATCTTGTACATACTGTTCACAACCTTGCACAGGAAGGAATGGAATGTCCACTGGCTAGCAGCAGCAATAGCCCAAAAGGGAAGAGTGGCAAGAAAGAGCAGATCAGCAATTGCTAAATTCAAAAGGAACATGTCAGTCATGGTCTTCACTCTTGTGCAATACCAGTAGACCAGGATAACCAGGCTGTTTCCCAGGGTGCCCACGATGAACACAAGCCAGTACAGAGGTGGAAGGAAATGGCTCGCAAACTGCCTGACATTGTTTTTCTTACAGAAAACGGGTTTGAGGGTGAAATTCATGTAGTCTTCTGGGGAAAAAGTGAAGTCGCCGCTGTAGTCATCAAACGCATCAGGAATAAGGCTCTGTAAAGAATATAGGGTAACGTTTGAGTGCTCTGACCTGATGGTAGATAGAATTGCCAAAGCTCTGTGGTAAAGCAAAAGTAGCATATGTGCTGGAAGGAAGACTGCGTTAGGCTTTCGTTTGGTTTGAGTGTGTAAGGTTTATGATGAAGCACTGATCACCCAATGCCATGGTTTGAGGAGAGGCCTACTGTTGGTTATGTAATGGGGACTACCATGGAAGACATTAATAAGTACTCTTCAGACCCAAGTTCTTGCAATAGCAGGTTGTCATAAAAGAGAAGGATCCTAGAAGGGTGGTGGTGGCGCACACCTTCAGTCCCAGCACTCGGGAGACAGAGGCAGGCGGATCTCTGTGAGTTTGAGACCAGTCTGGTCTACAAGAGCGAGTGCCAGGACAGCCTCCAAAGCTACAGAGAAACCCTGTCTCTGAAAACCAAAGAGAGAGAGAGAGAGAGAGAGAGAGAGAGAGAGAGAGAGACAGAGAGAGAGAGGGAAACACAGAGAGACACACACACACACACAGAGAGAGAGAGAGAGAGAGAGAGAGAGAGAGAGAGAGAGAGAGAGAGAGAGAGAGAGAGAGAGAGAGAGAGAGAGAGAGAGAGAGAGAGAGAGAGAGAGAGAGAGAGAGAGAGAAGGATCCTTGCCCTTGAGTCTCTCTTGCTGTCTTGACATGACTATGTATTTCTTCTTTTATGTTGCTTACTACTATATTGTGATATAACCAGAAGACATGCACCCATCCGTAAGTTGGTTGCTATGCTAACTGCTAAAGATACCAGGTAAATAAGCCTGGTTTCTACTTACATAGAACTTAACTTATTCATGAAGTATATAGAAAAGCAAAATTACCCTTGTAGTCTAGATGGCAAGTATTGTGACATGATGGGAAAGAGAACTCCGGGACCACAAACGGGCACTTTACTTGAACTATGTGAATGAATATGACATGTGACAGTCCTTTCTCCCAACTATTCAACATCTGCAAACATAAAAAGTCACCAAGAGCTCTTAAACTTACTGGAGACATGGCACCTCTGAGTTTTCTGAGAGCCCCAGAAGTCAACATACAACACAACACTTACCTGCACACATACATTTGCACATACACAGCATAACACTCTCAACGACACACATAAATGTGAGTGCTAAAGAATTTCCAAAGACCCTTGCTGAAAATATTATCAAAAATTTCAAGATAGTATTAATTCAAGTATGAGCATTCTTTTGTTTGTTTAGATTTATTTATTTATTATGTATAGTGTCCTGCCTGCATAAACACCTGCAGGCCATAAGAGGGCACCAGGTTTCATTATAAATGTCTGTGAGCCACCATGTGGCTGCTGGTAATTGAGCCCAGGACCTATGGAAGAGCAGTGCTCTTAACTCCTGAGCCATCTCTCCAGCCCCAAGTATGAACCCTGTGTGACCACAAGGGTCACACACCCAAGGCAATGGTTCTGACAGGCACACACATAGGGCACAGGCTCTTGCTCACTCTCATATGCATAAACAGGCCCACCCTCCTGTTCACATGCACATTTACACACTCATACACACAAGTACACATGCATAAACATACCTAGACATATATGCTCACATGTGTCATTGTGCTTCCTATGGGAATCACTGCTAGAGAAGGGGATGAATGGAATCTGGGCAGGCAGATAACAGTGTAGGAGGGAACGGGATCCAAAGCATGGTAGCTGTTACATTGCTGAAGCCTCCATCCCACACCCACGTGACCCCACCTCCCACCGTCCCTCTTCCGGCTCCTATTAGGCTTTATAACTTCACAGAGACTTTTAGTCACCAGTGTCTTGCCCTGAGGGACATTCTTGTATTTCTTTTGTGAGAGGACAATCTCACAACATTTCTTTTCCTTGAGACAAGTACAATCATTTTTCAAGTCATCTGTCCATATTGAACTAGACATAATTTCTGTGAGGGTTTTGTTTTGCTTTAGGTAGCTAATATTAGTAAATATGTAGGTACAGTTGGTTAGTATATGTATTTAAATATTCATTTTGAGTAATAAAATCCCCCTACTTTCTGTTAGCTGTGCTACTTTATCTGGATAACCCACATATGCTTCTGATGGCCAACCAGCCTTTCCAAACTATGCATATTGCATTTTCATTTTTGAAAGTCACAATTATCCCAAGCAGATTAACCTCTGAAAAAGTCCTATAGAGCTTTTTTTTTATTTTAATTGCATATTGGAACAATAAAAGGCTCTTGAGATATCCTTTAAATATTTCCTTAGCAATGTTTCTTTGACATATTTGAATATGGGGTAATATTTCTGTGAATGTGCGCATTCATGTATATGGGTACATATATGCTTTGTTTTATTAGATACCAGTATATACTAAATCAGCTGATAAAAATCAATAGATAATAGGAGGCTGATGCAGAATTCTGAAGCTCTCACCACAAAGTCCAACCTACTTCAACCTTGGCAGGAAATAGCAAGAGGACCTCACAGATGTCCTCTTCAGAGCTAATTGTTATATATATATATATATATATTTGTTCCAAGGACAGAGGCACAAATTCTTAATTTAAATTTAAAGACTTCTCTCCATGCAGTCATCTGGAAGCCCAGCGTCAGAAGGACCTATCTCTGGTGCCAGAAAAGTCCTGCCAACCCTGGGCATGGATCCAGGTGAAAGTCTCGGCTCCCTGGGAAGGCCAAGCTGTCAGATGAGGGTCCTGAGTGGACTCTGAGAGAAAGAAGAGCTTTGGGGATGAAATTTAACTATGAGAGCACCTAGACCCAGAGCCAGATGGTAGAAGACTTACAGGTGGGAGAATAACATTTTGGAAGGGCATCAGTTAAACTATGAAGACGGGTAAGGATAGGGGGTAGTCCACACAGAGGTGATGTGAAACACTTGTACAGAGTTTTGTTGGTTATGCTTTTTTGTTAACTTGTTTATGTTTGTTTGTTTGTTTGTTTTGGTGCTTTAAAACAGCTTTACTAGACTCTTAAATTGTTCCAAGGCTTGGAAGCAAATAGCAAAACCCTCCACACAGGACATGGGGAAGACATTTCTCCAGGGTGCACACATTCACAAATGCGGTGTCCTAGGACAAAGACAGATATTAGTAGCAGAATGAGTAAGGGGTCAAAACAAGGACGGAAGAAGTGAAGGTACATGATAGAGGGGTCAGCTCAAGAGGTGCTCCAGTCTGTGGTGAGAAGCATGAGGGAAATGGTGCCCTGAAAGACCCACGAGTAAGCTGAGAAAGGTAGGTCCCTGAGCAAACACAGAGAAAGAGCTGAAAGCCTCCTGCGGGATGCTAGAATACAAAGAGGAACAACAAACATCCTGGGCCCCTAGGCCATCCAGATTTCCCCAGCACTCCTGAAGAGGCGCAGGAAGCCAGGGTTTTTGTTGAGCTAGTATTAAAACGCCTGCATCCCTCATTTGCTCCTCCAATTTGCTTGAGATCTTGAACCCTACATCAACCTTCCCAGTCTCAGCTTGCTGGTCAGTACGAGGGGCTAATATAGGAGGCACCAGAGTGATATGTCCTTCAGAGGTAAGATCAGGATGTCATAGCCAGTTTACACTCAGTGTGGGAACCCCAGTCTCACTGAGATCTACCTGGCTCCTGTGGTCCATCAGGACTTCTCTGACCATGGAGAGTCATTTTATCTGGGATGCCTTGCCAAGTTTGGCTATTTTCTAAAATCCCAAATGAGAAAACAAAATGATTGATATATCAGAAACCTGATCACCATCAGGCCCTCAGCCTCAGAGGCCAGGAGCCAAATTCACTACAGAGAAAATCAAGGTTGCCTCCTCACCTCACTGGGATCAAATTAACAGTATGTGCAACCATATAAATATTCCCAAACAATGCTAAGGACATATTGGTGTGTTATAAATAATTTTGCTGACAACCTAATTCAGCCACTCCATTCTGTAAGTTTTGGAAACGTACAAGGTATCTTGAAGGAAAATTTTTTAGCCCCACTGAGGAGACATGGTTTTGATTATGTACATGTAAAACCTACATTTTTCCTTTTATAGAAGAAAAATAAAAGCCCTTAGATACTGTTGTAAGGTGTTTTGAATAGATTTGATTCTATAATTAATTCATCCTATACTCTAATTACATTTTGTGGTAATTATCTTTTTTTTAAAAAAAAAATATAGATAGTGGGGGGCTGGAGAGATGGCTCAGTGCTTAAGAGCACTGGCTGCTTTTCCAGAGATCCTGAGTTCAATTCCTAGCTCCTACATGGCTGTTCACAATCTGATCCCCTCTTCTGGCCTGCAGGCATACATGCAGACACAGCACCTGTATACGTAAGAAAAGAACGGTCCACAAGAAGGATCAGAAAGATGGCTCAGTGATGAGTGTTTGCTGCTCTTGCAATGGACTCTAATTCAGGTCTCGGCACCCCACATGGCAGCTCACAACTGTCTATAACTCCAGGTCCAGGGAATCTGACACCCTCACACCAATGCACACAAAAAATAAAGTAAGTAATTTTTTTAAAATCTAGATAATGATTTGACCTGCTAAATTTGGTTCAGTTCTTCGCCTCTCAGAGAAATACCTTTGTATGCTTTTGAAAGGGCTGTGTGCTCTGTGTGCTGTTATGAACTCAGGAGAACACCCCCCCAGGACTTCTTCTTTCTTTTTTTTTGACAAATCAAATGGGTTCTCCATTGCTTTCTTTTGTGTGAGCTCCAGAACACACATGGGGCAAAGCCCATCCTAGTCAAAGAGCACAAAACCCCTCAGCTATAAATAAAATTTAAAATTTAAATTTTCTGTCTTCGAAGCATGTCACTCCCAACACTGACTCAGTGTTCACAAAGAGAATGGATGTGACCAGAGATACCCCACATAGCGATAGGCACTGCTGACAGAGACCTTACCCTAGATCACCACACAGGAAATCTGTCCCCATAGGAGATTCTTTCCCACATCACCATGCAGGGAAGATCAGAGAGCAGGTAAGTGTTTTTGAGGCACCTGAGGTCATGGCTATACTCACTATTTGTTCTGTGGGTGTCATGGTGGGTCAGATGCCAGCCAGCTTCTAGAAAGAAAGGGCAAAAATTAGGAAGAATACAGACTTACAGATCCACTCTGAGAACAAAACACCAAAGGTGGAGATTCAACATTAAGCTTGTTTGTGTTTGCAGAAAAAAATCACAAAAAAGCATTAGAATTCATGTCCCTTTTCAGACTACAACAGCATATCAGAATATTATTGAAATTGCAGAATGAAAGCAACAGTTTTGGAGTTACTGCCTAATTCTTCATCCCAATAGACCCAGGGTTTAATGCTTAATTTCTTTTAACTTAACTAGTAAAACTTACATCTGCAGATGAGGAACAACAGGGGTCCTGGGTAGTCTCCAGTCCACCCTAACTTCCTCCTGGCTCAACTTCTATAAGGTCTGGGAATGGCTCCTCTCCTCCCACCCCCACATTCTATATATTGCCTAAGCATGAGCTAGCAATACCAGGCAGAGATCCCTGAAGAAGGGTGTCCAGGCACCCAGCTGGGGAGAGAAACCCAGGCTTGTGTAACCATAGTTGGACTCCTTTGTGGAGGGGTCTGTGCCTGGACAGCACCTCCGCCCCAACCCTCCATCAGTAATATACATCTTGGTGCCAGATCCAGTGTGTTCTGCTGCCTCCTTTCCTCTGACTTTCCACCCCGCCTGTCTCAAAGTACTGTGGATTTCACTACACAAAATGAGGTGCAACCATTCTAAAACAGTTGTCGGTTTGGTGTGTGTGTGTGTGTGTGTGTGTAAGCACACATGTGTAAATACCTGTGTCTGGTCCCTCCCTCCCTCTCTCTCTCTCTCTCTCTCTCTCTCTTTCTTTCTTTTAATGCAAATGGGTGTTTTGCCTGCATGTATGCTTGTGCACCAGCAGGTAGTACCAGATGAGGCCAGAAGAGGGCATCAGATCCCCTGGAACTGGAGTTACTGATGTTTGTAAGCCACCATGTGGGTTCTGGAAATCAAACTCGGATCCTCTGGAAGAGCAACCACCAATACTCTTAACTGCCGAGCCATCTCTCTAGGACCCACCTCTTCTCTTTACTTTTTGTTTGTCTTTTTTATTTTGTTTGGTTATGGCAGGACCTCTCACTAAACGGCTACACTGGATGCCTCCTCAGAGCTGGGGTTACAGACATCACCACTACACTGGGCTTCTACTGATGCTGAGGATTCTAATGTGTCCTCGAGCTTGTACAACAAGTGCTTTAACAGCAGAGCCATCTCCCAGACCACTGGAGAAGTTAGGCAGCTCCGTAAAAAGTCCAACATATGCTTGCCGTACATCCAACTCTGCTACTCCTAATCACCTAAGAAAAAGGCAACACTGTGTCCCCACAGAAACTTGCACAGGACTCTCCAAACCAGCTTTGTTGGTGACAGCTAAAGGGATAGCCAAACTGCTGATGTAGTGATGGATGGGAAAGTTGCTGAACATTCACACCAAAGGGGAAGAAAAGGATCATCACCTCACACAGCAGCTCAAACTGGTCTCAGAATAATTTTATGCAGAGTAAGGAAGGTGAATCTCAAAGTATATACTGCTTGCTTTCACTTACATAAAACTCAAGATAATGCAGACTAGCCTCCAGTGGCAATTCCTGGAAAGAGGCAGTGGAGGAGAGCAAGAAGGCAGTCAGGATGCAAAGGTGATTGAGGAAGTTTGAGTGAGAGGAGAGACCTATGACTGATAGTTTCACAGGGTTAGGTAGGTGTACAAGGGCATGTTCTTCACTTTACATGTTGGTGGCTATTGTTACCAAAACTCAAAGAAGTCTCTGAATAAAGAGGAAAATAAGGTGTTTTTGTTTTTTCTTTCGGCAATCAGTCATCTCCATTATCAGCAAGCCCGCAGGAAACTGCCAGGGCTGCTTTCGTGCTCTTCCAGAAGCAACTCTCTCAAGCACCGTAGTGTCTTGTGCTGTGCTTTGGAAATGAGGGAGCCACACAAACTCACAGTTTTAAAGTATTAGAGTAGAGGGTAGGTGAGATGGTGCCATACTGTAATCCCAGCACTTGGGTAAAAGAGCAGAATTGACAGTTCCAGGCCAGCTCAGTTTAATAAACCCTGTCTAAAAAGTAAAATTCTATTACATAGGCAAATGGATAGATAAACTGAAGATAAGCAAATAAATACACACAGCCTCTGTGTCTCCTGTGTGTTTGAAATTAGATCTGAAAAACTTACCCCAAAAAATGTAGGAAAAAAAGTGTCTCTAGACATTGACCCCAAGACAGGAAGAAGGAAGCCTGGAATGGGGCTAAATCTGAGTCAGTGTGTCCTTGGCCACCATCTCACTGAATTTCAGTGTAGCTGGTAGCAGCTGGGGTAATCCTTATATTGTCCTTAAACACACAAACATTTTTTTTTTTTTTTTTTTTTTTTTTTACTTAAAAACAAAGCTAGAGAAATAGCTCAGCAGTTAAGAGTATATAATGCTCTTACAGAGGACTGGAGTTCAGTTCCCAGCACCCACATCAGGGAACTCACAACCATTAATAACTCCAGCTCCAGGAGGAGCCAATACCTCTGGCTTCTACAAGAATCTGTACTCACAGGCATGCACTCCCACACAGACACAAAAGCACCAAAAAAGAAATCTTTTAAAAATTTTACATTTTTGGCAAATACACAAAAGTCGAGAGAAAAAAGTCAAAATATCCAAACATTTACATCTCCAAATACCTGATATCAACTTCTTATTTTCCTCCCCAGACTTGTCCCTATGCATGTATGCACTTCTATTTTTTTCTCTTTTTATTTTCATCAAAACAATTATGATATTTTATCCATCAGTAAACATTATTCCCCAGCCTTCTAACAGGGGCTGGCTATATGTTACTTAAACACTCTCTCGGAGTCTTAAAACCTGTTTCCAATTTCTGTTTATAATTACTTTGAAATACTTCTGGATCAATAGAAATGCAACATGCATTTTTTTCTTCAGGAAAATTATACTGTTCTCTTTTCTTCCTAACTTTGAGAATCATAAATTTACCCCAAGTTGCATTTCTAAATTATTTTGGTATCATTGGCTTTGGGGGGTTGATGGATTTCTATTCAGTCACATTCCAGGTGTCATCAAGACATCACTAAGCCTATGTTAAGATAGGAAATTCATACTACAAAAGAAAAAAAAACAACCTTTGAGAATGAAAATTACTTTTCCACTAAATGAAAAGTACCCCTAACTAAATAAATGTCTTTGGAGGGCAGAGACCTGGAAGCATGAGTCAGAAATCATTCCATATATATTTCTAGTACTAGTTGTGGCTTACATCATCTGACTTTTCTTTGTATGAAGAATTTGAACAGTGATCACATGACATCGGAGAAAAGATATCAGAAGGAAGAAGCCAGAAAAGGAAGGTGATTTTGGTTACAGCAATTTTTAGGGTGAGGACAGAAATATATAGTGGTGATGTCGGTACAAGTATCAAGAAATCTTCATAGTACAGGGTGTGTAGCTTTGGGTATGGGTATGTATTAGCCTTTTTGGAGGGTAAACAGTATCAAAATTTATAGAGAGGGACACCTCTGCTCAGTGGATGCTCTGCTAAGAACCTGCCCTATTCTCTCAATGCTGGAGTGTTTTCTTGCAGATCAAAAGCTACACATAGCCAATTAAAAAGAGGAAGAGATGCTTCAAGCTAATAAAAAAGAGGCCACTAAAACTGTTACATTAAAATGTAAAATGTGCAAGACTTTTAATCTTTTAGATACAAAAGCTTGTACCCTTTGCTGCTGCTTGGAACAAAAGCTCTCCTGCAAAAGCCTGATCCATTATCACTGGTGAAAAATGAGACTTGATTTTTTTCTTTTAAGTTTTGCAATGCATTAGAATATTTACCAAGTGTGTAAAATTGTAAGAGCCATCCTAAAAATAACCTGTCAGCTTTTTTTTTTTTCAAATAGAGAAAGAAAGGAAAAGAAGTAGCAGTCAGTGATCTTCTGTTCTGAACACCTGCTTACAAGCCTGTTCCAGCTGTGGTGGAAAGCAGAGCTCACAAGAGCCATGCCTGCCAGTCCTCACCCAGGTGCCACTATTTGGGACTGAAATCCTGCTCCAGCTTCTTACGAAGGTCGACCTTTCTTCCATTATAAATCTGCCTCTGGTACATGGGAACCAAAGGAGAAAACAAACACACAGTCCTTCCTGAAGTAGTGTGTGAAGACCACAGGCAGCCTTGGGGTTTTAAGTTGATTTCTTTTTAATCTTTGTCCAGATACTTGTCAAATGCATTACTATATAGCCACCCTCAGAGCTTGCTTTCATTTTCTTCTTGCCTTGAGAAGGAAGAAGGATAAGAAGGAAAAAGGAAGAAGGAGAAGAAGAAGAAGGAGAAGAAGAAGAAGAAGAAGAAGAAGAAGAAGAAGAAGAAGAAGAAGAAGAAGAAGAAGAAGAAGAAGAGCCCACATATGACAAAAACACACAGAGGGAAGGAACTCAACTGTCTCCTGGGAGTTAGAAGGCTTCAACTCACCACTGACCTGTCCTTCACTCTCCTTATGGCCTTCTTGTGGACACCCTAGCAGCTGAGTCTACATGGTGGACCGAATGAGTAGCACTGGACCAGAAATCATAGCTCCTTTGCCTTTGGGGCGTGGCAACAAGTGACATGCCCTCACAGAGCCTGGATTCCTCATCTGGGAAACGAGGGCAATGACAGTCCTACCTGATCCCAGGACTTGGTGGACAGTCAAGTAGCAGGCTATGCAAAATCTCTGGTCAGAATATAAGCTTGTGGGAACTGAGATAATTTTCATCTCATGGTCAACGGCCAGGTGTGCTGGACACTAGCTGTGCATAAGCAAGATGTGTGATAATTAACATCCTCAAGAAGCCCACTTTCAAGTTTGGTGGGTAAGTTAAGGCTGAAAATGGTACAATGGTAATGTCCTGAGATGTTGTAGGAATGAGGGAGAGGGAATTCTGGTTTCAGCACCAGGGAATATCCAGGAAGGCTTCACTGAGGAGGTGACTCTTGATGACCCTGGGGGTTTAAAGGGCATAGAATCATAGGATAAGGTGAGGGAACATTGCTCTGTGGCAGGAAAAAAATACATCAACTAAGACTTAATATTGAAAGCATAGTGTTCAGGAGTCAGAGGAAAGCTCCTTGTTCTACAGAAGTGGAAAAGGTAGGCCAATCTGAAACCATGCTTACCCTGCCATTGTTTTCCTATCCTCTGTTTTCCTTAGGGAACTGACAGAAAAATCAGGTATAGGTACCTTGTCGCCTCCCACATCCAATGCTACAGACATTCACAGGAGCTACTGTGAAAAGGAGTTACGATGTAGGCCTACACTTTGACCTTTGTCCTATTTGCTACTCATGAGTTGAATCATCTCTTACATTTTGTGTGTGTGGTGTGCGTGAGCTTGTGAATGTACTCACACAGCTCTGCTTTTTTTCCCCCCTTCCTACATTGGATCAGAGACTCTGATCCGTTTACCACAGAGCCCATTCACCAAGCCTGGGCCAGGAGTTCACTTCCCTGAGACCTGTAAACATAAGCTTGGAGTATAGGCAAGAGTAGATAGAAATTGGAAGAAGAGGGCTCTGAAACTCCAGGTGCTGGAATGACCATGATTTGGGGGTTGTTTGGCAAAGGGAATAACGGGACAGATTCCCTCAGATGGTGGTTGCTTGCAGGTCCAGAACAGCACAGAAACAGCTGCTCCGACCTGTTGGCTGGCTATAGAGCTGACTAATTAAGAACTAAAGAACAGAGTTGGGGGTCATGGAGAGATGGCTCAGCAGTTAAGAGCAGATATTCCTCTTGCAGAGATCAGAGTATGGATTCCACCATGTCAGGTGGCTCACGACCAACTGCCAGTGTTTCAAACACCTGTTCTCCTCACATGTGCACATAATTAAAAGTAAAATAAATCCTTAAGTTTTTTTTTTAGAACTGAAGAAGGTAGACATACTGAAAAAGAAAGAACACACCTATTTTCTATAGATGGGTCATTTAAAATAACGGCTTCCTTTCTGATCATAGAGGAATACTTCCACAATGCACAAAAAGATCCAAAACCACAAATGCACACACACCTTATATATAAATGATTGAAAAATTAAAATATCAAGCATACTTTTCAATTTAGCCAGTGTTAAATTTCTGAGACATATTTTCTTCTTTCTCTTTAACACCACACATACACACACACTCATTGGGAAGGTGGTCACCCTGCACATAGTTTTATATGTATTTTTAGTCAGTCTTTCCTGGAACACTCTTCATGCACTGCACAGTTATTGCACAGGGGCTAAAACAACTG